GATCTGAAAGCATAATTCTTGGCTTAGTAGCCTCTGTCTGTCTTGCAATACTGGCAATCTCTTACATTGTCTTACAGCCTGCCAGTTGTGATGCCAACCTCCAGCTTTCTGTCTGACTACAGGTTTACTGCTTCTCCTCACTTCTCCTGCAGGTATTTGGTTCCTCTCAGTGTAACACCAAACTCAACAGAGGAAGCTGAACATGAATATTGAAAAGACCGTACAGAATCTGTCTGCTGTGAATGCTTTATCATGCATTACATCCTACTTCCTCAGTTTAATTTAAATTTGATAATTTATTTAAATGTTGCTTGAGCTTAACTCATTTGATTCACCTCATTATTTGAGTTATGCACAGATTATAAGACATTGAGCCCCTGAGAACAGATGTGTAAAAGCCCCCCCCCACATCATATCTTGCGCCAAGCTGCTCCAATATCTAATACAACTTCTTTTTTTTTAAAGGAAACAAACTTCTCTATCCATAACTTGTTATTCTGCTGTAACACATTTTTATTTTAATGTAGACTTACTGTTATGCTAGTATGCACTGTGCAGCTGTTTTATATTGGGAAGCTGCATTTTAAAGTCCTTCCTAGATTTGACCCCTCACCCCTCACTCCCTCTTAGTGCCTTGCTTCATGGGGGATAGAACCTTTTATCCGTAGCAGTTGCTGCCCACCTCTGGCCCCATACAGTTATAAAGAAGCAGTCTTCATAACCAACCAAGGTCATTTGTTCTCCGTGCACAATAAAGCACTACGTTCGCAACGCGTCACTAAACTGTAGTTAGGCTAATTTTGCTCTCGTGGCTTAATTGTTGCAAACATTTGTCTTTGACTGGAGTTTAATGATGTTAATTGCTGTTGGGTGAAATAAAATGAGAAGCTCTCGCAGGGTTTTTGTTCCCACTGAGGATCTGAGGTTGGAGTGTGTCGTTTTCAGTTATTGTTCCTATAATGTGGGCGTTGTGAAGCCCTTTGAAACTGTAACTGTGATTAAGGGATATGCAAATAAACTTGTAGAGAGCAGATGCATTTAAAGCACCCAGAGTTTATATTGTTGGCTGTATTGGCTTTTATTTATTTTAAAGCACGTCAGTTCGACTCTCGAGACTTGTGTTGACAGTCTATTTTTATTTAGAGTGAAAAAAGACATGCTTGCTTACGTGTTCTCACTCTCTGGCCTGTTTTTTTAATCAGCATTGTCTTTTTGTCACATGCTGAGCTCACCATCTGCTGCTACTGCAGCCCCGTCAACGTCCTTAAAAAGTCATTGCTGTATTCGTAATTATCTTCGTTTAATCACCTCCCCTCTTCAGGGAGATGAAAGGTTATTAGAAAATGAGCACACATGGGGAATTCATTAAAAGTGCAGCACAATACTGTATGCAGTTATATGCAGCCATGGATGGTACTGTATGTCTTGTTGTCCTTGTGTCATGTGTTTCAGTAATTACTGTTTTTTTTTTTTGTTTGTTTTTTTTTGTTTTTTTACATTTTGGCTAAAATAATCGCTGGAATTCCATCACACAATGTCCATGCTGCTGTCTCCTCCGGCTGTAATTATGTCTTCCTGTATGAGCTGCTCCTGCTCTCCCTGTCTGCTATGTCATGTTTGTTTGCACATAACAGCTGAGTTTTTGGACTGTTAGATTTTAGATCCTAATGCAAATTTGACCACGTGTGTATCTTGTCATAAAGATTTTGTGGAAGGAAAAAAACTAAACAAAAAGAGAGAGCTGGGGCGTCCCGAGGTCCAATGAGTCTGCACACCCCAATGGATCCGAATGCTCTTTTAATTTTATTTAAGGTTCTGCTTTAAGCGCAGGGGAGTGAAAAAAGCATCAATCAGGGTTTGGATTTGGGTTGGAATAAGCACTTTGTTAATGATAGGGGAGCTCTGTCGTCGTAGTGACAGGAATAAACAAGTGGTTAAGGTTAGGGAATGATCGTGGACATGCTGAAAATCAAACAACGTGGACTGCTAGTAGCGAAACTCAAAGCAAACAGACATTTCCTGTCCTATGTTTTGTGGACATCCACCACACTGGTCCCTGAAGCATGGACAGAAAATGAGGATTTATTGAAGTTTATTTAAAATAAAAATGATTTTATGGAGGATAGGACTACAGATTTCTCCAAATTGTATGATTTTTTTGTTGGAGCAGCTGATATCAGGAAAGCCCGGCCAGTGTATTGTTGGTGATTTACAGGTGACTATACAACTAGCGGGACTACGTTGAATTAAATATTTACAGTTCTCTTAAAGTATCTTTGCCTTAGTAATTGTATTTTCAACTTATAACATGTTCTACAGGATCTCCTGGCCATATTTCTTGGCAAAAGCAGTTGAAAAATAAAATCCTTCAAATACATCACAATATATGGGATTTAAAAGGTGGTACTACCACAGTAATTGTGGGGTTATTGTTTTTTTTTTTTACATCTGGACTAATCTATGCAGATCTGGTAGCAATGCAAAGAAGGAATTATTTTGTATCCAAACTTGTCCCTAACACTGCCTATTCTCCTATATATCGCCCTCCTCCTCCTCTGCTTCCTATCATTGACAGTCATTTAAGTCACATTTATTCATCATAGAAAATGAGACATCATCAAACTGAATACTGTGGCAGAAACACAGCTCCGCCTCTCCTCTCCTCTCCTCTTGCTTTCAGTGTGAGAATAAGGCTTGTTAGCATTCATGTGTTGCGTTCCTGGTCTCTCACACATAGCAACGTCCTCCATTATTGAGCAGTTGTAAATGCTTTGAAGTTTTGCTGTTTGGGGAGTTTTTGTTCCAAAACAGGGCAGGAGTGGGAACGTGGGGATTTGAAAGGTAGATATCTCAGCAGCTGGCCCAGTAATTGTTTTGCTGTATTGATCAGCATCCTTCTTCTTGATATTTCTGTTCGAACAGTTGCACCCAGTGTGTTTATTTTACTGGATGGTTAAAATGATCGTGCAAACAGAACAGATAGGCAGCGAATAAAGGCAGAGCTGCAGCAGTGAACACCGTCAGTGCGCTCTGCTCTGTCATTGAAAACAAGGTCAAGGTGACGGAGAATCTAATTGACGCTCAGCTCAACCCCACCAATTCCCCCGGGATGTTATACAGCAGCACCACCCGCTCTCTCCTCCACCAGCACCACATGGTTACACCACAGGCTCAGGCTCACATCTCATTAGCATTTGACCGCGTGGGCAAAGCAAAGCAGCTTCATCTAATGCATTTAATAGTGAGAATATATTCTGTGTAATTTAATTAATGTGTTAGTGTGTGTCTGTGGCCAGATAATGAATTAAAACTATTTCACAGCACCAACAGAATCAAAGCGGTTTGTAAAAACAGAGTGTATTGTTGAAACGCTGGTTTATTTTTAATCAGGATAAAAAAAATGTCCTGTATTAAACATGAAGCATCTGTTCAGTAAAACTCATCACAGAAGAACATGAGCAGTTTTTAGATAAATATGGCTGAATGACTTGCACTGTGATGTGACACATGGTTACAGATCCACTTTAATACAGGGACATTTATTCCTGCAGCAAGAGGAGGGAGATGATCAAGAAGTTTTGCTGTAAATGACCAAACTGCATTTAACTGCAACAGTTAAACATAATTGGGAAAATTATGGATTATGCTTGTTAAGGTAAACCAAACACTGGCTCCAGATAGAGCCTTTTGTGTTTTTCACGGCCATGTTAGTTTCTCTTTTTTGGCTTGGTTGAGTTGAGGGGATGCAGTTGGTTGTAATCTGAAATCTCACCACTAGAGCACTAAAACCTACACACTGGTCCTTTAAAGGAGAAATCCACAGATTTTCTGCTGAAAGTTCCTAGGGAAGTACTACTGCATATGTTAAAAAAAAGCTTTCTCCAGAGGGAGCTCTGTGAAGTCTGATAAATGTCCTCAAGGGATGTCACTTAAGTCAGCATCAGTTGGGGCTGAAGGACTAAAAGTCTGAAAATTAAAATATCAATAATCTGGGGGTATGGATTTAGAAAGAAGTGAGCTCACCAGACTTCTGTACCGGTAGTCTGCTACTCATTTCTGCTGCAAGCTAGAGGCTCTAGGCTACAGTCAGCACTTGAGTGGCATTGTAGGTAATGTAGCCACTGGAATCAAAAAGATATTTCTGGTTCTGCTGCATCGATTTGGATAATTTCTTTTCCCATTGTGTGTCTGTCAATGTTATAGGATTGCAATGCTAGACCTGTGGAGTAGTCTTTTAAACTGTTGAAAATTGTTTTCATTACAGACTAATCTGTAGATTATTTTATATTCTTTGATTAATTGTTTAATCTACAAAATGTCAGAAATAGTAAAAGAAAATGCCTATTGCAGGTTCCTGGAGCCCACGTTGTTGTTTTGAAATCGCTTCAATCCAAAGATATCTAATTTACAATTATATAAAACAAAGCAAATCCTCCATAGACTATCGACTTAATGTTTCAGCATTAAATGGAGGAATTTGATTTAATTTATTCCTCATAATTCTGGCCTTATGCCTTTTTTATGGTTTGGGCAAGGCTTCTTAAATCCAGTGAAGGTAAATTGTAGTAATACAGCATAAACTGATATTTTAGACAACATTGTACTTTATGTTGGCAGTTTGTGTTTGTCCCTTTCCTGTTTTCGATTAAAGGCAATAAAAGCATATATATATATATATATATATATATATATATATGCCTGTGTTGATGAAAGACGTCAGAGATGTTTGTGATTAATAGTTGTGAAATATGAAGCACAATGGTTGTAAATCTGACATTTGAGATTATCATTTTAGCCTTGATAATGCAGCCCCACCTTTTAAGCATTTAGCTGATGTTTATTCAGAGCAGCTTAGAATAAGCTTTAAATCCTGGATCACCCACATTATAAGCAACAAATACAAAGGTTAAAGCAATATCGCCAAGGCAACAATTGTATAAATGTGTGTCCACTGACTGTTTATGTATAATAGAGAAATACTGGGGTTTTTCTTCCTACAGTGAGACTGACCGAGAGGCCAACAGCTGAGAGAAGTTTGACTGCATGAAGAGGCCGAGTGACGGGACCCTGGTCCTCACCTAGACCCCTCCCACGACCCCCCCACTGCCTGGACATGGTGAGCCTCCTGTGCATGTCTGGCGTTTGTTCATGTTGTGTGTTTTTTAGCCACAAATGTTCTGGCAGCTTAAGAGTTTATTTGTCAGACAAAAGGGATATTGGACTGTTTTAGGCAGCAGGGTAACAAGCGGTGTGTCAACACACCTTTTTTCCCATGTTGAAACACAGAAGTCCCATTCACCATCATGTGTGAAACAACACAACGCAAACAATGTCCCATGGATTTGAATGAGAAGTACGTTTTGACGAATGAGACACAGTGCAAGGTCTTAAAACTATCCCAGCCTGGTTTTGATTTAAAGCTTCTGTCAGACGGTCAGCAAAGAGGAGACTGTTTGAAAACAGTTGGAGCAATGCCTACAGCATCACTGCCTGTGTCATTTAATCTTAAAATTGTCTGTAAATGTGATTAATTCTTAATGACCTCAATGTGAATACTGCACTGATATCCAAATTGTGACATTTGTACACTATGTAATGTAAATTATGTAAAAATGAGATTTTCCCATGATACCATTGTCAACAAGAAAAAACCATTAGGTTTCCTCAGGTGGTTTAATGTCTGAGAACAATGTTATACCCTGCTATTGACAAGCTAACTGCAGGAGATGGCAAGCAACATCCACAACCGCACATGACGTCACACCATGATGTCATGTTCAGTGATTGTTTTTTAAAACGGAGAAGTGTTCCAGAGCGGCTGGGCCAAAGAGATCCGACACAGCAGAAGCACTGTCTATAATGCAATATCCCTCAATTCACAGCCCAGTATTACAAAAACACACAGGAGAAAGTCCGTAGCGAAAAAATTCCCAACTGGAAACCCCAGCAGTGATGTAGCAGCAAATGCAGACTGGTCCGCTAATCATTCCAATTCACCAAAGCTGTGCCGTTTGTATCCCGCAGCTCACCAGTGTTTCGGTTTAATGAGTGACCCTGTTAACTGGCGACTTTCAGTTGAAATAAGTCACCAGTTAGTTAATATAGTCATCTGAAAGTCGCCAGTTAACAAGGTCACAGACCCAGCAGGCATGGAGAGGGAAAGTGCAGGTGATCACTGCAAGCAGGTACTGAGATGAGACATTATTCTGCTGCATCCCTTACAGAGTAATTAGCAACAACAAGATGGCAATAATACCACACACAGCACTGTTGAGCCACTCTAAATCACTGCAAGGGAAATTCCTTCACCCCAACAGCCCTCTCTGTCTGAAAGTCTGAATAAGTCAAAAGTCCAGCAACAGTTTTAGGATTAGGAACAACCAACACATTCATCAGGGTCATCATAAAACATATCACCACTGGTCACACATCAATGTGTTGTTTGACAACCCTGATGAAGTGTTTGACTTTTTCCAGACACTTTAGTTCAGATTAGTCAGATTAGTTGGATGTTTTGGGTATTAAAATGGTGGTTGTGTAAGAAACCTTGTGTTTGACAAATGAGTGAAAAAAGTACAGTAAGTAGTTTTTTGATAGAAAAAGTGTTTAACATTTTCTTGTAGAGACTAAATGAATATTTTTGATCAAATGGCATCCTTTTTTTCTATACATCATGGTGTATATTACTCCTGTCACATAGATTGAGATCAGTATTTTGTAGAAAAATATATGAGGAAAATAATAATCTCTGTGTGCTGGTTATATGTTGCCTTCACAGATGCTCTAGACTCTTCATATATAATATAAACCAAGCTGGGTTCACACCATGACAAGACGTCATAAGCCCCAGTGATATGACAGAGAAAAGAAAATGTTAAAGGAATCGTTTCTGATATGTGTGTCAGATTTAAGTAAATGGCATCCACCGACAAACCCTGCAATGCAATTAATTAAAGCAGTGAATGTCATTATCCTCTAATTGCGGTGCCAGTCTGAACTCCCAGCTGTCTTGTAGGTAACAAATAAAAGGAAGCGGCCTGATGGCGGGCCGGGCTGGGATCCAGAATCCGTGTTGAGGCTGTGAAAGTCTTAATCTTTCATTTAGATCTTGTTAATGTTTGTGTGTACGTTTGTGTGTTATGGTTGTTGACGCTGCCCACACTTGCCGCTACACAGCCTCGAATGCCCTCGGCAGTTCAGCGAGAGATTAGCTAGGTCGTGATGAATGACCCTCGCAACTTCAGCACAAGCCCCCGAGACTTGTGGCCATGAATTATTAAAGCACCATCATAAATAACTCACCGTAATGAGGGTGTGCTTACGTACTGCAGGCGGGGAGAGAGGGAGGAGAGGGAAAAAAGGGGAAAGAGAGGATCGGAGTTGAAGAGGAAGGGATGATTGAGAGAGGGATAGCAGTTTGACCTTGGACTGAAAGCCTGTCGTGATGCTCAGCCGGCGGAAGGACGCACTCAGGCTTGTAAAAACGAGCACAGAGCTAATTTTGCACATCAGCCTTTTTTTTTTTCTCCCCCTCAGAGAGATGGGCTCTATCCCTAAGTACATGTCATAAATGTTAATGTTAAGTAACGGCGGCTGTATCTAGGCCACGCAGAGATTGGCAGCAGCACAGGTCGCTTCAGGTGTTGCTGTCATCGCGCAGAGCATTTCTGACACAAAAACAAGCTCCAGCGTTTTCACCAGAATGTCTGAGGAGGAAATTGAGGAAAACAACACCGGGCGTCAAATTTAAAAACAGTGTGTTAATGTTCAAAGAAATCTATTTTTCTCTGGATTTCGTCTGCTTCCCCCAGCAAGCGAGCAAACACTGAGTAGTTTCTCTGTGATTACCCAGAGCTAACACTGCTTTGATGATGGTGTTCGATGATGAATCACAATGATGATCTTTTTTTTCTGATCCTTCAGTATTGATCACCATTAAAACCACCATGGCCACAGAGTGTGCAGGTTGATAGCAGAAGAAACAGCTGGATATGTGTTAAATATGCTTTGAAAAGCAGATATCAGACATGTGATTATACTGGCTATGACAACTGCTCTACCCGGCTAAATCTTTGCTAAGGTGCTCAAAGCATCAGTCCAAACTCAGTCAAGATTTCCATACACTTAGATCCATGCAATATATCACTTTATTTAGCAAGCTTTCGGTCTCCTTTCTGACCTTCATTAGAGCATGATGAAGGTATGACAGTTAGATAGACAGAAAGCTTGCTAAATAAAGTTATATATTGCATGAGTGTGTGGAAGTCTAGTTTGGACTATCTATATAAAAAGTATGTGGACACTTGAAGATATCACCCATATGTGATTGTTGAACATATGATTCTAAAACCACCCCATTCAGACACAAGAACATTAGTGAGGTCCAACACTTACCAAAGGTGTTGCATAGGACTGAGGTCAGGGCACTGCAGGACAGTCAAGTTCTTCCACACCAAACAGGGAAAACCATTCTCTTGTTTTCCCAGTTTGGGTTTGTGTATGTTGGCATTGTCATGTTGAAACAGGAAAGAGACAAACACAAACTGCTGACATAAATTTGGAACAACACTATTGTCTAAAATTGTGCAATGGCATTAACATTTCTTTTAATTGGAACTAAGGGACCCAAACCATGAATAACAACCCCAGACCAAAAGAGACTGAAGAGAGATGTCCACATTACGCTGGCTGAATTTAAATCGCATAATTATCTCTTTGTTTTGGCCCTCTGTTCACACTAAAACTAAAACTTTTCTTACTCAATAACAATATGTTTTCTAACTTCTGACTGGATAAATCCAAAAACGCATGTTTGGAAGTTAACTGTGTGCAGGAAAAACCATGCATTTGCAAAACGTTGATGCACAAAGTAAAGTTGTACAGTGTTGTCATTGAAGGGGCAGTGTGTAATATTTAGGAGGATCTATTGGCAGAAATGAAATATCAACAACTTTATTGAAATAGTTGCAATCTGCAACTATTAGAAATGATTTGGTCAGCAGGGCTGTGTCTGTTCTGAAGTCCTTAGGAAAACAACCTGGAAATGCTAGTGTTGATGCAAAATTAGCATTTTTAAAATGCAGTGGTGTAGTGTGAACATAGGCGGACACGGGTGTCCTGCATCCCATCTGTAACAGCTACTAACTACATCAGGTAGATGGGCAATGAAATTGAATTCATTTATTCAGTAATATATAGCCTTATGGAAACATAATGAAATGTTGAATCATGTCGGGTTCAGAGAGCACATCCGTGGTTTGAATATTAAGTATGCATCATACTCGTTAAGTTATAACTGACATGCCCAATCAAGACACCGGATAACAGTTGTTTGGTTTTTTGCTTATGTGGCAAAGATCTCTCAGTTAAATCTCACCCCAGTAAAGCAGATATGCTGCATTTTTAGGGAGTAAACTCTTATTGATTCATCACAAAAAAAAAAATTGTAACTTTTTGTGACTTTGGTAATTTCTTATTTAGTCCATATGTTTGATATTGTAGAAAAAATACTTTATCTGAAATGAGGTTTTCAGATACTTTAACATAAAAACACCCATCAGGCTCTTTTTACTTATTAAGTCAGTAGGTGCTCACTGACTGTTTATCCATCAAGAACATTCCCCTGGCTGATGTTTATGCTGATTAATGATAATGATTAGGCAAACTGACCATCTCAAAGGTCACAAGCTGCAAAGGTCACAAGTTTGATTCCTACAGAAGCCCATTTAGGTACATCAGTAGACATGTTTCCTCTCTAAATGACCTCAAGCTTCACTCTGCGCCTCCAACAGCTCACTCTGTGTGATTCATACTGAAATGAAAACATGGCAAAAATAAAAATGATAATGTCTCTGTTTCCCTTCGTCTGAACCCAGAGGTCATTCCGATCATTTGCAAACGACGACCGCCATGTCATGGCCAAGCACGCCAGCATCTATCCGGCACCAGAGGAGCTGGAGGCCGTCCAGACGCTGGTGTCCACTGTGGAGGGAGCCCTCAAGAAAGTGTCTGATTGGATGGATGGCCTCAGCAAATCCTCAGGGAAGACCTCCACCAATGACGAGGCTGGGGACAATACAGTGGAGAAAGACGCTACTGAGATAAAGTACGTCCTGCTGTATGTGCTCTTATTTTGTGGTTGTTTATACTGTGATGATTAAAAGCACTGATTCTGCTTTAAGCATAGCACAGTGTTTTCCTACAGTTCAGTTATGCACCAAACTGCTAATTGGACTTGTTTTCAGAGCACAAGATGAAGTGAATTTAATGCTCATTCCAGTTTATTTTTGTATCTTCAGCCTTTTCTTCAGCACAGTGCCATATCGTTTCCCTCATAAAAAATGTGTTCAGCTGTAAATCTTCAATCGGGAGGGTACGTGTGATGATTGGATGATTAAACAAGCTCAACAAACAGTCATAAATTCTCAACATTTGGATTGTGGCCTAAACATCCATCCAGATATTCTGTATTAACAAATCATCTCTATAGAGATACAGTGGGGAGCTGATTTCATACAAATAAATCAACCTCACAACAACAACAAGGGCAGAAAAAGAATGTACTGTTGATGATATGTAGGAGTAGATCAAGAAGGACCAGTGTGGTGAAATTTCAGATTGTAACCATTTGAATACAGCTCAGACTTCCAAGGTTCTTAGAGACGCTAACAGTGACCACGAAACCTGTGAGAAACATCAAAGGCCCTGTCTAGAGCTGGTGTTTGGTTTGTCCGTTCAGGGTTACTGTAGAATCATGCGATTCAGTGTGGCAGAAGAGCCCCCTCTATAGATAAAACAGCTCATTCTTATTTGAGGTGATTCTGCAGTCAGTTTCCTTACTACAGAGGGATCCATCCTGGCAGTCACATATAGGTTTCTTGCTGGGACAAAACATGAGCAATTAACCTTCACATAACTACCAGGATGAACATACACAGTTCATTCTTCTAACTCGTGCTAATGAAACATAGATTTTACATTTGAATGCATTAGAAAGGAATCTGTTCATGGCTAGTATGAAGAGAAGAACTATATTAGTCAATGATCTTTCACTGTTCATATGGCATGTGACACTTTAATGGTTGTGAAATAATGAGATGTAGTAGTTACATTTAAAAATATGACCAGCTGTTCACTGCAGTGAGAGCTGAGGACCCATTCTCAGGCCTTTGTGTTATCACCTCTGTATGGCTGTCAGAGACTTTGACGCTGGCTTTCATCCATTTACCCTCAGGCCGGACGGCACACCGGTACTGTGCGGGGTGACACGTGTCGGTCTCGTGGCCAAAGGCCTGCTGATCAAAGGGGACATGGACCTGGAACTGGTGCTGATGTGCAGGGAGAAACCCACCAAACCGCTGCTGTACACCATCAGCGCCAACCTCCCCCTGCAGATCCAGGTACACCCCGCCACACCTCCAGCACTGCAGCGTTCAGCACTGTGCATCCAAAATGAGCCATAAAAACATAGCTGAGGATACAACCTTGGGGTGGGGAGGCTTTTAAAAAGCATCTTTGTGATCTGAGCTTCAGTGCAAACACTCGTCCACAGAGAACTACCAGAAGTTCTTTATGTGTGATAAAAGAGTTTGTCTGGTGACATTGGAAAAGAGACATGCTGACACCCTGAAGTAAAGCAGGACATGATGATAATAATAATAATACTTGTGCAAGTCATACAGAGATTTACAAAGACATGTGGTAGACAGTGCACAGTATTTACTTTGGATACAGATAATACATAGTATATATCATATATTCGCAATAAAGCATTATATGTACATATTTAGTCGTAAAAGAGTGCAAAGCACATAATTTGACTCATACTGTTCAGTGGTGATTTGTATATTTTTACTTGCAGTTAGAAATACCAGAAGGTGAAAGGAACCTTTAAAACAAAAACATCCTCTGTCAGCTGTGATATGTGGGTGTATTTACAAAGCACTGAGATTACATTATTAAACAACACAGCAACCCTACATTTCACACATTTTAGTGAATTATGCTTTTGTATTTGTTGTAAAAATGAATTTAAGATATAGATATTTTGGATTCAGAACAATATGAATTCAATCAGATATGCACAGGACAACAGGGTATTAGAAAAACACGCTTTAGATTATTTAAAATTTGAATAAATGTTTAGACTGAATTGGTAAATAAAGATAAATAGAAATACTTTAAATACAACCTAAAATACACAGAACAAAGGATGGTACGCAGCTAAAGGTTTACTTATTCAACATGGACCAGAATTAAAAATGATTACATGTAGGGCCAAAGATGTTGAAAATAAATATTGTTCAGTTAAAGTACATTGAATGCAGTATTTGACACACAGAATATATAGTTGTAGAAGGATATTAACGGAGTTACACACCTTTAACTAATGTCTGTTTGCTCAAAATGAGCAGTAGGCAGAATGAAAGGAACGAAGGAACACAGGGAGAAATAATACCGGTATGTAAACACATTGGCTCATACTAGCTGAATACCAATGACACGGCATGACATGAACTAGATTCACAAAACTAACCACTCAAATTAAGTTTAAATATCAAGCCATCTCCATATCACCAAGTGTCCTTCTCAGTGTAAGCAGTGTTAAGAGTGCGGTCTTGATCACACTCAATCACAAGCAGCCAGGTGTTCAGTAAAATCAGCATAAGATGAATTAGCCTTGGTAATTCAATGAAAACCACTGCAAAAATACTAGTCATGCCTACTATTACATCCCAAACAAAACAAACGCAAATATATTGTATTACTGACATTTCAACTCAACCTAATTATAAAAGAATAATTCAATAAAGATAAAGTCATTTCAAGTCATTATTTGACCCTCTAATCCAGCAGAACAAGTGTAAATCATTAACAACACAAACAGTACAGAACATTTTAAGCCTGAATGGATTCCAACATACTTCTGTCCCCACAATAATGATGTATTACAGAGGCGCTTTTAGGCGAAATAAATAATTTCTCAGGGAGAAAATGTTTTTCATTCTTAAACCAGATGAAAGGTTTATTTTTAGTCAGTAGAAGAAGGGGATGCTGAGGAAATGATTTGAAGTGGATATGATATGATATGAAAAGGAAGTGTCCTGTGCTACTGAGACTATACTTGATTTATCTCTGCCATTCTGTCGCCGTGAGATGTTTAAAGGCCAGATTGCAGTATAATCTTCAGACCCCAACTTATGACCACCGGGACCCTCTCTTTACAGCACAGGATATGATGCATCCCAGTAACCTTGAGAGCACTGTGTGTTTTTACCAATCTCAATTCTGAGCCACAGAGTTGTGCAAAATTTTTTATCAAAAGATCTTTTCCCTTCAAATGGGTTTTCAGTCCCCCCCCTCCCCACACATTTGCTAGCTAACAAAGCAGTGCCGACGTACACAGAGCCTAATGTGCTTCCTGTGCCTCCATCTCAGTTAATTACCTGCCATAGCTGCCGTGCGTGCTTCATCATCAATGGAGGAAACCATTTGAAGCTCTCATTTCCTGGGCCAAACTGGGAGAGATTGACAGGCAGAGGGGGTGATGGATGGGGTCATTTCTTATGGAGACAATATAGAGAGAATGCACTTGAAAACATGCCACTGAAGGTAACACGAATCTTGAGGAAAAACAAGATAGTTTGTCGTGCTGGGAATTGTCTTGCAATCACAACAGGAGTGGATACTGTGATTTAAATGTGGAGGAAACAGGAAGGCCTGTTTGGTACTGACAAACAAATTTATGCTTAAGTCAAATGATGATTTTCTTTTCTTTTCTTTCTTTTGTATGGAAACTGTAAATAATGACTCACAAATAACTATCCAAGTAATGAAATTTCATCAGTACCATCAGTAAAAAACTGGCATAGTTAGATAACAAACAAAAACACAACAATTCCTATATTCAGGTGATTATACACTAATGAAAACATACCCGTAGTTATGCATATTATATTCAATTTATGCCAATTGATCCTCATAGCTGTGGGTAACACTGGACCTTTAAGTGTCATTGACGATTATTTAACAGCGAACGAAAAAAACAAAATGGAAGCAAAGTTCCCTCAGATCGTTTGTTGTGGTTATGGAAAGTTAAAGGTAACTGTGATATTCTTATTGAAATTGTATCTGTAATTTGTTACGATACTATTAACTGGGGGAAGTATTATCAGTACTGTAATATTATTACTAGTACTGGCCATGTCCCATCTGCTAACGTGTAGGGGGAGGGTTTATGTGCGTTGTCTTGTCCATGGTTTGGCCCCCCACTGCAAGGGGATTAATCATTTTTATTGACCAATCTGTGTTTCATTTTTTGTTTATGTATTTTCTTTGAGCACAACAACCTTTTTTCTAATAATGGCTGGGTTATCTCTGTAGTTAAGGTAAAGAAAGTATGGTTATTAAAATATTTTTGAGAATGTATTTTCAAAAATGATTTATTTGTAGTCCAGTGATTCTGCACATTACAAGACCTTGTTCAGAGAGCTCCTCCGAAACACATCCTCCAACAAAGATCTTTACGAACAGCAGGAGTCAGTGTTGCGACTGTGATATTCGATTTTTAATTAATCGTGCAGCCCTGCCTTGCAGACAATGACGGAGGACAAATACGAGGTGCAGTCGTGCGTGCCTGAGGCAGCCATCCGGGTATGCAGCACCAAAGACCCCCAACTCACGTTGAAGATCACCCTCTCCTCCTTAGCCATGAGGGAGGAACACAGCACCACAGAAGAAGGTATTGACTCCTTTCTATCCTACCCCCACTCCTGTGCCTCCTGTTTGGGAGGATGGTTACCCTGTTTTTATTTGACCTTTATATGACAGAGGGCTGCGAGAGAGTCATACTGGAATGTAAAGGTATAAAAGTACTGAGACACCTGAGCTCGATTTGGGAGATAATCTGGGGATGATACATTCAGAGGACTGAAAGCTGAGAGGCAAACAGGGGAAAAAGGAGAAGGGAAGATATGGATCTGGGTCGAGTGTGGTGGAAATAGCAGATGGCCGGTGCAGGATGATTTCCGCTGGGGATGTGTTGGGTTGGGACCGGCGAAAAAGGAGACGTCGTCTCAGGTGTCCTCTTGTATCATCCTGCATCTGATGAGAAAGGATTCAGCAATCCAAAAATCTGAGTGGGGAAGTAGTTCCTTTTGGCCGACATGTTAAAAACATATAACTTTAGGCTGGAAACAGATATATTTTAAGGAATTAAAAAAGGAGACGTACAAGACAATTCATCTCAGTAGCTGTTAAAAAATCCTTTCTGTCAGGTGTCTGTACTGTAAGTCATGAGCTGACGTTTAGCATGAGTGCTTCGATTGTGTTTGTTTTCTCTCACGAATGGGAATGAAATTAAAAATGAATGAAAGGCGAGACAGTAGTAGAGCTGCCATTATGGAACAGCGGGTCTCGTTGCGGTCCGCTCCCAGTGAGAAAGACTGAGTCGAGCCATCACCAAAGGTAGAAAAATGGATTTTGCTAAACAGGAGAGAAGCAGTTCCAATGCACAGCTGTTGAGTGCAGAGTCAAAACATGGAGAAAACCATTTTCCCTTCAGGTTCAACATCCTGTCAACACAACAAGGACACTGTTGTTATTGTTATTGTTTTGGTTTTTTTGTCTCATCTGGGTTTGTGTGAAATCCCATAAGCAAAGACTGTCCCTCTACCTCTCCTGTAGACACACAAACAAGAGCAGAATTGATTATTATTCCAGAAAGTGTTTCCTACACTTAGTAAAATAGAAGAATTTCAATACGTTATTAAGATTACAACCTTAGGAGTTCCCCTTGATGGTTCCTCAGAAGAATCCACTTATTCACAGTTTATGAACTCTCTGCCTAGGGTTTGGGTTCGATAGTCAGTTCCATTTTGGATCCAGGTCCAAGTTGGCAAAATCTATCTGCATTTGCAAAGATCAGAGGCTAATAAATATCTTACTGAATCTTTTATTTTGTCTCACTGTTTTTAGTAGCAAGGAGAAATGTATTAATGCTTCTAATTTTTAGTCATCATTAGAGGTCCATCCAAAATGTTACTTGGCTACAGTTGGCTGGTTAACTTTCTCTCTATGAGCTGCTGTCTATACTCACCCAAAGATCATTTGTTACAGACAAAAAGACCACTTGTGTGACTGTGAAGTGTTTTTGTAGTTCAACGACATCAAGTGGTGAGTGTTTTCTTGTAAGTGGATCAGTTCAGTTGATCCCATGACATCAGTGTCAGTGTCTGGTGTGTCAAGTTCATGCACACCAGAAGTGGTTACTGACCGATGTGCCTGTTAAAAACTCTGAGTGTGGGAAAACAAAACAAATATTGCACACTTTACTCATTTTATTAAGAATGTTTCAGTCCTCCTACCTTCATTAGGTTATGTATACAGATGGGTGACAAATTATATGAAAGGAAAACCAACATGAAGTGTCTTATTATGAAGTTAAGCCCCCATGAGCAACCAGAACAGCCTCGACACTCCTTGCCAAGTCTGTGGAACTCTTATATACATCCTTTATTTCCTCAGGTAATCAGGTAAACATTCCAATACTAATTAAGAGGCAAAAACTACGGCTTAAACAAAACCAAATCTGTGAATCTTCCTTCTTATTTCAATTACTGTTTATAGTGGTTGTTTATATATGTTTGTTTTATTGTATGTTGTTATGCGTTTTAATGTTTTACTATGTGTTTTATCCCTCAAAAGTCTAATCAGCGACAAGGACCGCAAATAAGCTACAACTAAAAGTACTATAAACATTTTATTAATTGCATTTTATTTAAGTGTAACAATGCCTGTATGTATTGTCAAAATAAAAGGTAAAGATAATCTCATTAAGAATCCTTAAGGTCAAGATTTATTTTGCTAAAGAGACCAGAGTACAGTAGATCGAAAGAGAAACAAACATAACAGACATACAGTATGTATCGGAGACAGCCACAGACATCATTAAATAGATTTGAAGATAAAAGTTTATATGATATTGTTTGGTGCTATGTTGGTCCAAAATCTTTCATAAGTGTTCAAGTGGGTTGAGATCTGGTAACTGTAAAGGCCGTAGCATTTTATTCATTTTCATGCTCATTAAACTATTCAATGAGGGCTGGTTCATTGAAGCATCCACATTTGATCTGTTTCTCAACTCTTTTATTCAGGTTTTAACTTTAATTTGTCCCCATCTGTATGTGTGTATATTGAACCCAAACCCTCTTTGTGCTATTTCACTTAACATCTCATATTTGAGGGTTCTTCAAGGATTCCATCAAGGAATTTTTTTTTTGGTGAGTAACCCATAACAGTCTAACAAGTTCCCTTTGGCTCTTAGATGAATCCTGAATCTAAATCCTTTAGAGTGTACCTCCTGTAGCTGGCCTCTGCTCACTGACTGTTGGTTTTGTTGCCGTAGCTCCGCAGGTCAGCGCGCTGTGTGGATTGCGACTTCTCTGCGGCCCCGCTGCTGACGAGGCGCTCCCCCCACCCAGCAGCAGGAAACCCCGGGTACAAGGGGCTTCCCCGACAACCAAATCAAAACAACCCACTCACTCTCTGCCTCAGACATGCTCCTCTACCCCCCCTCCCCCCTTCCTCTGTTGACTGGACTTCTCTCTGGGTCACCATGAAATTCTGGTCCATGTCTATTACCGAGCACATAAACTAAAAGTACAAAATGACTACAATAACCAGCAGTCCATGTCCAGATCTGTGCTACTTTGCCCTTCTCTGTTGATCAATTGTTATATTATTTATTGGCTCAGAATGACATTCCATAATTTCATGTTGTAAAAACGGTGTTAATTGAATTAATCTGATGTCCTGGTCACTAATCAAAATTTCCCGAGCTGATGTCAGGGAGAATTTAGTGGGGGTTGTCCTTATCTGTATGTGGTCTTGACCTGTGAGTGATGGTTCCTTCATGGCCTGCCTCTGGGAAACAGCTTCCACAGTTCATCTGCATACCAGGGAAGAAAGGAAGAGTTAAGGTTATCAATCATGCTAAGATACATGTCTGGAAAGTAAATTAATGCAGAAATACAAAAAAAATCCACGTCTTTACAAAAAAGCTGGAAAGATCTTGGAAGATTTTTCTTCATTAACGTTCAAATCATGTTATTCCTTTTTCAGGTATTTTTAGCCCCACAGAATATTATTTCTATGGAGTCTTGAGTATGCCGCTGAAATAACTCAGTGTTTAGTGACTGAGCAGTTGCTGCTGTGAATTAGACCTAATTTAATTTGTAGGTGGCACTCTGCGTGCACGTGTTAGATGAAAACTAATCAGAAAATGGAAACTAAATGTCAAAGCAAGATACAAAGTAATTGCAAGATGGAATGTGTAAGAAGACAGTAAATTCAAGGAATCAATTAGTTTAATAGTTGGAAAAATTCAGTCAGCAACAATCATTAATCAGTCATTTACTTTTATATATAATATGCATAGTGAAATGTGATGAAAGTTGAGCATTGCTATGGAAGTCAAGTATTAATACTAAATGATGTTTTGACCTATCATTAGGCACTGTGGTAGGTTTCAGGCTGTGTTACAAATCTACTGAGCCCTCTGACAAGCAACACCTTCCTCTAACCCTGACCTAACGTAGCTGCCTTCAAAATCCTAGTTAAAGCTGTTAAACCATGCCTGTGTAGCGAAGACAAAACAATTGATTTATCAAAAACGTAATTGACAGACCAATCAATAATGACAACAAACGTTATTTGCAGCCCTGACGTATTCAATGTGCAGTGTGTAGGATTTTTAACGTCACCTTGAGGTGTAGTTGCATATTACAAACACCGTACCCTCATCCCCCCCTTCAAGGCGTGTAGGAGAAATTTACGGTGGGTGCAAAACTCTACTACTGTAGAAACATCCTGCTCCTTCTAAAGATAATGAAAACATGATCATTCTTATTTTCAGGTGATTATACTTACCTATCCTCCTAAATATTACAAACTCATGCTAATTACTGGAGGCTTCTGCCCACGGACTGCTGATGAAAATGAACTTTTAGCTTTATCCGGTGCAATAATTCAATTTAATAATTGATTAAATTCAGCGTTAAAATTAATTTAATGCTGAATGTCTGAATTCATACCCATGGCACACTCGAGACTCCATAGATTACAGAATGGTATTATATAATCACAGTTTTAATGTACATCTTATTGAAAAGTTGAGTCCAGTCCAGAATTTGAGGTATGACAGCACAAGAGAAATGCTCAACCTTACGTTTTTATGAGTGCATCCTTATATAGCATCAGTATGTGTATATATAGCAAACCCTGGCAGGATTAGTGCCACGGAAGGACAGGATCCCAACAACCACTTCTGTACTTTTTAGTGACCATAGTTTTCTTGCCAGAAAAGTATTTTTCAGGCAAAAGTAATTTAATTGCTTTTTGTTGGGTTTCACTTCAGTTCCCGGTTTCATTTGTTTTGAGGTGCACCGAGCAAGCAAAACTGAGAGAGTATACCTAAAAGTACAGGATTAAAAAAGTTTACTCTTCCAGTTTACTTTGACAAATCATGCCATTAGCTGCAGATTTTCTTTCTCGTGGTACATTATAATACTCAGAAGTCCCATGGGCAGAACATGAAGGTCCTCAGTCTTTGGTCTTGGAGGAGGAGTGACAGAGGAAAAACCCTTTGTCTCTCATCGGCTCCTTCGTTTGTCTTCCACCTCTTCCATCCTGTTCAGCTTTCACTACGGTCTCTACAGCAACAGACTGCTAAACCACACACATCGCTCCTCAGCTCACATTACTGCTGATGATTCACACGCAGACAGATGAATTGGAATTTGAATACTGCGTATATTTGGAATTAGAAACTACAGTGTAACCTCCTCCCTACGAGTGGGAGCTTTTTTTAATGCTCTGTGTCAGCATTACTGTCAGCTTTGTATAAAATAGCCGTGATTTAATCTCTGGCGGCTATTGCTCATTGGAATAGATCTTTGAACCATAATGGGACTGATTCCAGTGTGATGGTTCATTTATCAAGATTTAATATTGCAACTTGGCAAGCTGAAGAATGGAGCTAATGTTTCAAGTTGCAGAGAAGTCATTATCTTCGATTTCCCGGATGACATCATTGATAACGTGTGAGCCTTCACTACTGAGCTCTGCAGTGTGGTCTGCAGTCTGTTCCCCCCTTTGTTCGTCTGCTTGACCGTCCCACAGTGGGCACCCCTTAGCTGCTCCCGAGAACAAACAGCCTTCACTTTCTTTCCAGGGTGGCGTTCTCACTCTCAGATGTTTATGTTGTCGTTGTCATCTGCTGTCACTCTTCTTCTGCTGTCGTTCTCCCATGGCTCGGCCTCCAGTCATGGCAGGAGTGCTCCCCACAGGAACCCGGTGTGGAGAGACTGTTTCAGTCAAACATAAACATCTGACCGACCCCGCAAGAGTGAAAATACTAGCATGGCGCCCCAGAAAACTGCAGAGCAAGCTGCCTTTTTAAAGCAGGATGTTTTTTTTTCTTCAAGTAGAATAGCTAATGTGTCTGCAATGTTCCCTGCCTTTCCTCAATCTCAGGCATTCCTGAGCCAGTATTTCAGTCTTCTTGTTCCAAAGTGTTATTTTAATCTTTAATCTGGCTTTTGCTCCCGAGTCGTTGCCATGCTCTCATTTTCGTCCTGCGCCGTAATTGATAACACACTAATCTGGCGTGTTCCATCGCCTTCAGCCACTGATCTGCATCTAGAGTGAGACTCCGGCCGGGCAGCAAGACGCATGCGCTCATGTCTACTCCGGTTCCTTCTGTCAATGTTATGAAAGATCCTGCCTTGTGCATGAGAAACCCCCCTCTCCCAGAAAATCACGGAATCTCTCAAATTTCCCCCCCTCCTAGCTCATTTGGTCAGATCAGTGGGTTTGCCTAATAATAAGCCATCCAACCCTGCTGCCTGTGTGTCTGTGTGTGAGTGCGGGAGGTCAGCGTGGTCACGCTCAGTCTGTCCTGTCTCATCCTGTCCCTCTCTCCAGAGGAGGGCGATCAGGACGACAGCAAGGAGAGGCAGGAGAAGGAGGAAGAGGAGGAGGAGGAGGAGGATGTCCTGGACAGGCAGAAGTGCCAGGCTGCACTGGCTTCGCTCCGACATGCCAAATGGTTCCAGGTGAGAACAGCTGGGCTGATGACACAGTCACTCTCAGTGTCTTTACACTCACTCTTATCCTGATTATTCAACCCTGTTGTCAAAAATTACATTTCTATACTTTATTGCCACCTAGATCCTTTTTCTTTTTCATCATAAATAAAGACACAATTTTAATGAAGCATAGAGTTTAGGCAGAGTACTAAAGCTGCTTTTGTATCAGCTGATCTGCAGCAGCTGTTTCATTACATGTTTCACAATGATTGGCTCATTCACAGCTGTTTAGCAGGTAACATCCAATGATATCCTACAGGAGGACACTTGTCACTACTCTGCTAATATACTCATGCCAACACAGTTTGCTGCTACGGCTCCTTCCACCACCACAAACTCCTTGTTATGTGCTATGTTTTTGGATCTGTTGATTTAACTATGGTTTCATGTTTGTTTATTTGGGGGGGGGTAGTTGGAAGAGACATTGCCACTTTATTTGACAAATCCTTCTTAGTAAGGATGTAACAATAACTTTATTTGATACAATTCTCAATACTGGATTCATGAGACTTTACATTTCCTTTTGTGAAGTGAAACTAATATCTTTGTTCCCTGCTACCCTGTTTGATACTGACTGATTAGTTTTTCATCTCACCTACTTCAGTCTTCACATATTTCTATTGCGATTTAACTATCCCACAATATTTCATTACATTCCTACATTTTAGTATCACATAGATGTCATCTTCAGCAGCCACTGTTGGATTAACTGAACTCCACCTGTTTTTATGCACATTTACAATTTTGCAAATAAAAAAAATGCTGGAAATTTGATTCTAAAATTGCAGCAGACATAAGGTGATTGATGAGGAGACTGTACATTTCCTCAAATGAATTAATGAAACAAACATAAATGCCATATTTCCAACATTTTCTACATTGTTTTTGTTTGACTGCCACATCTTGTTGCACCCTCTTCTTCTGCAATGATTTAAAGGGCCTGTGTGTAGGATCCAGTGGCATCTAGAGACAAAGTTATTACAAGTATCCAGCAATTAAGTGTACACACATCAAAACCACATTAACTGAGTGTAATATGAAACCGTAGAAATTTTCATTTTCAGTAGCCTAAAAGTAGAGGAAGAACATGACATGTAACTCTGTAACTCTGAAGGTCATGAAGAGATTCTTCAACAAATCAGGTTTCAGATGAGCTGCAACTCTGCCGTTCTGACTGAACTAAGAGTTCTTCCACAGGAGGGAGATGAGAGTCAAGGTCAGGTGAAGCAGTGAGCAGCTTCCCACAGGGAGGGAGAGCTGAATGCCAAGTATCAGAGTGAAGGCCTGCACTGTGGACTGAAGGTGAAGCAGCTCAAGGAGGATTCTGTTTCATTATATTCACACAGGACTATCATGACCTGCGGACCTCCACTGATCTGTTATAACTGCAGATACAATTAGTGGCAATCATCTCATTCACCATCCACCATGTGCCTGAATAAAATGACTTTATTGTTGTGAATAGTCATCCTGTTCAAATTGAAATGGCCGCAATCTTACATTCCTTACATTCTTCAAGTTCTTCCTTTTAGCTTTGACAGAACCTTGGGAGGAGGGTTGTAAAGCCAACAATAACTGGTAAATGAATTCATCATGGACAGAGATTTCAACACATTTTATTATTCCAGGCAGGTGTCCAGTGAAACATTTGTGACATGAGGTCCACCATGTAATACCACTGTCTTTAGAAATGACTGTTTCTACTATTTTAGGCAACACGTGGAGTATTAATATACGTTCAATAAATGTCTAGGATGCTTGAAGAAATTGGCACAGAAATCTACTTTCTACAGAAAGAGCATTTCACAGTTGAGCGCAGGATTGATCGTATGAGCATGATTAGATTTAATAGGAGACTGTCAAAAATGTTCAGATGTAAAAACGATCATGTGAAATGAAGTAAATAAAAACTTGCAGCAAGTCAATATCCCTCAAAAATATGATATTATAACTTGAACTATGAATATTCATGCAATCATTCTAGTTATTTAGATCTGAAACCACATTTCTCTTTATTTCACATATTATCACAGGGTTTTTCTCAAATTCTTTTGTTTGTTTCTGTTCCTGAAAAATATCAGATGGTAAAAGGAACAGCTCAAGGCTGCTGTCGTAAAAAAGATAACAAACATCTTTTCCCAAAATTACTTCCTACTAAAATCATAAAACAACAGACCTACAACCAGCATGGTCTGTAAGATAACTATTCTTATAACAGCACACAGTGGTTAGCTGGCAGTAAATATGCTAGCAGATCAGCTCACTAGCAGGAGCACTGGCTCAGCTATCAGCTGGTCAGCCACGCCCTCGCTTCACAGGTCATAGCGATGCAAAATTCAAATAGCAAGAACCTGATGTTGGAGTTGTGCTAAGCCAAATGTAACAGACTAACTACGCCATCTAAAGTGTTTGTTGTGCATAGTCTTTATTATTATTCCATATTCCGGTCTTGGTACCAGTATTTAATTCTCAAAAGGATAAAGTATAACTTTATCTATTCCAGACTGCGTGTTTACACTCCTCAGAGGCTAAACGTTTTCCACAATGGTCTTAGCACCATATTGACAGGGGTTGTGAAAAAGCCATATTTCACAGCCTGGAAAGTGTCATGGGCACATATTTTCAGAGTTTGTGCTGCTCATCCAGACTGATGTCTTGTTGAAATGCTCCTCATGCTGTCGCTAAGTTTTGTCTGTCTGTCCCCTCAGGCCCGAGTCACAGATCTCAAATCCTGTGTCATCGTCTTGAGGATTTTCAGAGACATGTGCAACAGACTGCCTGGGTGGCAGCCTCTCAAAGGATGGGTAGGTGATGGCCACAGAATCAGAATGGCTTGTTGTACAGGGAACACATTTTATAGGTTTATGTCTCAGGCTTTAAAACGTTTATTTGTCGGTGTGTATGTGCAGGATGTGTAGTAAACTCTGTCTCAGGAGCAGAATCATGACTGTAATTGATGATGTCCTCTCCCTGTCCGCCCTCTGCAGCCTCTGGAGCTGATCTGTGAAAAGGCCATAGCCACCTGTAACCGGCCACTAGGTCCAGGTGAGGCCCTGCGTCGCGTCATGGAGTGCATCGCCTCAGGGATTCTCCTGCCAGGTCGGTGATCAGTCATTCACAGCAACCTCTGTATGTTGTTTGTATTTACACTTTGTCTCCTCTAATCTCTAGGCTACAGATCGCCCAGAGCTAGTTTAACATTGTTTATGAACCCTGGGATTACGGCCTGTATAAAGGCATGAAAAGGCCAAAAAAAAAAAAAAGATTTAGAGCCAGCACCTACACATACAGAATTTATAGAATCATATAAACAGAGGTGTTAGACTGCAGAAATCTTCAAATTGACCTTGTGTGTTCAAGTAGAACATTTTTCATTTTGAAAAAATATTTGCAGTTATCCCAAGCAGAAAAGAGAGGAAAAAGAAACAGAAGTTTGTGATAAGTTTTAAAATCAGTCTGTCTGAACTGTTACTGACAGAATAAAATCACTTTGTTGTAGCAAAACTCTCCACTGTCAGTTTTGGGAACACTGGCGCAGTTGGCCTCTAAGATGTTCTGGCAAATAGTCAGATGAATCAGAAAGTGGGCGTAAGGCGGTCTTCAACACGGGAGGTTAACTTCTGACCTTGAGTGGAAATAATGTTGGGCAGTTCGCCTCCTGAGGAGGCAGAGCTGGAGGGCTCTGAGGGAGTTTTCAGCTCTCGGTTGGAACTCACTGAGACCGTAAAAAAAGCTTTACATTGGCAGGTCGGGGGCAGTGCCTGGCAGACATGGGTTTATGTTCCTATCTTTGAAAAAGGGAAAGCGCAATTATCAGGGTATTATAGTGCTCAGACTCCATCTGAAAGCTTATTTTAAGGTGTTAGAAAAGAGTGTCTGGCCAAATCAGAAGCATTGTAGATTCTGGTTGTGTAACGGTGGACCAGCCATTTACTCTTGGAAAGGCTTCTATCCATGGTCCTCAGGGGTTCTTGTTTGGAGCACTGTGGGAATACAGGGTGCCAGGTTGCTGCTACCTTTTATAACCAGATTGATTTACATTTTCAGTTTTTCAAGGATAGGAGCTGAAGGCAGAGCAGAATTTGGTTTTAGTTTGAATCCTACATTTTTATATGGTGGATCTAATTGGCACTGGAAATTAAATATTTCACAGTATTTTCTACTAACAAAGGCTCATGAGGTAAAAAAGATAAAGAAACTATTAAATGTTAAAGGTTGCTTTTAAGGTGGCAGGACACTGACTCATATGGAAATTAGTCTGTTTTTAAACCCTGCATAGTTTTTTTTAATGTTGTTGTGGAACATGAACATGGTTCTCGTGTAGGCAGCATATGTTATGCCCTCTGTTTGATAGATGCATTCGATACAGTTTTAATCTTATAAATGATGAAATTCTGTCTGCCAGAAATTAATATATGTGAGCTGAGTCAGTGGATGAGAGTCGACCATAGTGAATGAATCCAGTAATCAGACTCTCTGCACAGAGAGCAGCAAAATGAAATTACAAAGTTTGACAGTGAAATTGAAAGCAGCAAGGACGCTTGAAGAACAAAGGATTGTGTACAACGTATTACTGGATTTCAGTGGAAATGTAGGCTTGTAATTTGACCAAGAATTTAAAATGATTATCTGCTGATTGTGATCAGTGACTATTCCATCAGTGCATCTGTTATAAAATTCATGTTTACTACAATAGCGCTTTTCCAAAGGTTTCAACATGCATAGAGCGGCTGCTCCAATACTTTGGGCTATGACTAAATACCTGCAAAACAAATAACATAATAATAATAATAATGGCATTACCATCCATCTCAGCTGTACTTATTTAATGCTAATCAGCAAATGTTACCATGGTAATGCACTAAACAAGATTATAAACTTGGTAAACACATGCAATACAATATAGAAGCTCCAACTTAAAAAAAAAAAAAAAGCTTTCTCTCACTCTAGGGCAACATCAGGCAACTCTGCTCCACTTTCTCTCTGCACTGCTTATGTGCACTGATAAATAAAAGAGCATTTTTGTAATGTTTAAAAAAAGGAATCTGCCCAGGGAAGAAGAAGGTTTTTTAAACACTTTGGGCAGGCAAATAAACTAAGAAACCAACATGCACAGAAATTGTGTTTTTATTCTCAGGAGAAACATTTAGAAAAATCTTGAATGAATATGTTTTAGGATAACCCCCAGTGTTTGGCGTCATTTTCTTTACACAAAGGATGTCCTAAAGATTCATGGCTTGGATAGCAGACTGCGAGTGTCAACAATGATGCAGTGTAGTATCACCTACACCTTCCATCTAATAGTATTTTACTCTGCATAAATGGTTTCTAAACTGGTGTGCAGATTCCCTTCGGGCTGTGGATTCACAGCAATATGAATGATGGTTAAATTGAACTTTTACTTGTATTTTGTATGAGGTGATGGAGTATACAGTGTTTTAGAAAGATTTATACAACTTTCACAGGAAATTGTTTTCCAAATCATGCAAACATTTAGTCTCTGATATTTAGTTTTTGTTCTAGAGCAGTCCATGTGAAAAAATAAAACAATCCTGTTCAGCTCTAATAAATACAAAGATGTTCTCTGATTTATTTCTTCTCTCTCTTTTTCTCACTCTTTATCTGGGAAAACCTTCAACTCCCACGTTCAATCAGTGCAGAGCAGCAAGTTAGCCTTTGTGATGATGTGATTGGATTTTTAAAATGTGGTTCAGGGTTTCCCTGAGGGTTGAAATGGCAGGTTGTTCCCTGAATGCCTCTGAATCATTGACAAGTTACTGCTGCATGAGTACACATAGTAGGAGTCAGTCAATTATTTCCATGAGTTTTCCTTTCTATTGATATTAAAATGGGTTCAAAGTGTATGTTGCTGTTCGGAGGCCTCTCCTTTCTGAGTCAGAACCTGGTTTGGAAACACTAACGTGGTTTCCCTTTACAGGAGGTCCAGGAGTTTGTGACCCCTGTGAGAGGGAACCCAGGGACGTCCTGTCTGACCTCAGCGCCCAGCAGGCTGACACCATCACAGACAGCGCACAGGTCAGTCCACTCTACAGAGCAGCTCACTTTACCCATCAGCCCTTTCTACTACTGTCAGTGTCTTCTTCTTCTGCAGTGATGAAAGTAAAATGATACTAACATTATACAGTGTTTATAATGATTTGTTTCATTCTCAGTTCATTCTTTTCTAAATTCACTGTCAAAGTCTGGTTCAGGTAATGTAAAAAGAAGGGAGTGTATGTAAAGGTTATACTGACAAGAGTAATTTATTAAAACTCGGGTTAGCTCAAACGTACAATGGGTGGGTTGCTCTCAGCGATAAAAGCAGTGTGTTGATGTATGGTTGATGTGCTATGGAGGTGCTGAAGGTGCAAACCAAAAGAAGGTAATGTGGACATTGGTCGTTGGAAGAGAGACAGGAACAAGCACATGGGCCAGTTTATATAGTCCAAGAAAAATGAAATAATCAGTTATCAGAATAGCTGCTGATCGGATTAATATTATGACATCTGATATGCCCATCTATAAAAAGACTGTTAGTGGAGTGCATGGTAGCTCACCTGGTAGAGTCCATATGACCTGAAGAATGTCTTTTCTGTTCTGTTGAGGTTTGATACCCAGCTACTGGTTGTGTTTCTCAGCTTTAGATATCCTATCTCTTGACCATTAGTTGAAGGAATTTGTATGAACCCACGGTATTTGTCTTTTATCTATTACTTTAGTTTAATGTTTAATGTTGATTGTTTAGTGTCTTGCTCAAGGGCACTTTGGCAGTAGCTTTTAAGGAAGATAGGAGAATTCCCCATTCAACATTATCCTGTCTGCTTCAGGGGCATGAACATTAAAAGCTTCCATTAACAGACTCTTGTCTCTCACCTCTGGGCCACAGCTGCCCAGGCATTAACTGGTCCCAAAGATGATAAAGTCACCATCAAGTCACCCTGGACCTTAAGTCCAGGACGAAAAAACATTAAAACAGCTTAATACAAGCACAGATTTGTGAAAACACCGTCACTTTGTGGGAAATCATTTAGGGAATATGACATTTAAAACCAAGTTGGGAGTTTTCAGAGATATGATCCAAACTATAAAATACAGAGCTTTCCCTGGAGGTGAATTGATGCTGTAAAACCTCACGTGTTCTGATTTTAGACATACTCTTTACTTAACTTAGATGATATTAAGTCTTTCATTTGAACTGCTGCTTTATGGATGTTGTCTTAACATCTCCCCCTCTGAGCATTATAAAACTTCTCTTCCTGTTTTCCTGCTATAAAACCAGCCGCAGACGCTTACTTAACTGAGCCTAATCATCAGCTGGGCTGGGAAGGAAAATCTCATCCTCTGCCGTGCAACTCATGAGACCATGAAACATCCCACCGGGATGTACTTACACACCGCCCACTGCGCCAAAGTCAGCATTTCTTCCAGGAAATCGGACGAGTAATGCTCCCCCTTGTTGCACTGATTGAAGGAGGGTTATTTAGAGAAAGTCCTTGGCCACCCCGGTGAAGCCCCAAGCTCACGTCAGCACTATTAATAGCCGAGTGGCCGCAGAAGCCCAGACTCTGACCTCAGATAAGCAGCCCCTCATTGCTGCGGAGGCTTGACGAACTGGCAGCCTAATTAGCTGCCTAATGAGCGTGGGAACACTCTTCCCCGTTTACACCCACACCGACACTACTACTACCACCAATGCTGCTGCTATTGCGGCTGTTGCTGCCACTGCTGCCACTGCACATGGAACAACAAAGTCTGCCCCCGGGTGGAAAATGTGGGCTCAGTGCAGAGAAATATGAAGACATCCTCAAATTAATTTTTTCCTCCTCTCTCTCTCTCTCTCTCTCTCTCTCTCTCTCTCTCACTCTCTCTGTTTCTGCCTTCCTGCCAGTCTGGAGAATATTTTTTCTTTCTTTTTCTTTTCCTCCTTTGTTTGTTCCCAGTGTTTATTCCTCCCCTCTATAATGCATGAAGTCTTTCCCAACAGAATAAGTTGGTTTACACAAACGTCGGGACGCCCGCACAAGTTTCCCCGATAATTAAAGCCCATTGATCGGAGAATAAATGGTATCGTTGCTGCCTGTTCTCCTCTGAGTGCACAGTTCTGTTGCTTTACCAATACACTGATTTGCCCTTATTCTGTCTGGTGTGTGTGTGTGTGTGTGTGTGTGTGTGTGTGTGTGTGTGTGTGTGTGTGTGTGTGTGTGTGTGTGTGTGTGTGTGTGTGTGTGTGTGTGTGTTTTTTAGCATGCGTTACGCCTCCTAGCCTTTGGACAGCTTTACAAGGTCTTGAATATGGATCCTCTCCCCGCCAGCAAGCCCTCACCAAGGCTGTTAGAAGGTGTGTGTTCAGTTAGTGTGTTGGTGTTTGTGCGACAGTTCCTCTGCATGCAATTTAGTTTGTGTGTGCATAATTTCTGTTTTCAACTGTATGTATCCGTGTGTGTGTACCTATTTTTATCTCCCCACTATATTGTACTTTTCATCTTTCTTTGCTGCCCTGTAAAGCAGCTTGGATAACTCCTCTGTTTAGACACATTCTGCATATAGACAGTGACAATAATAATATGTTTAGATGATCTGTGTGTCCTTTCTCTGTCTGTGAGATGTTTCAGGTGATCAGTCTGTTTGTTTCCGCTCTGCAGGCGGCTGTCAGAAGAGGCTCCGGGAGGACGTCGGGTCAGATGACAGAGACTTCATCAAGAGGATGAAAGGTGACTTTGACCATTGACTCGCTTGTTTCAAAGAATGGCAGTTTGCTCAGATGATCTAAATCTTCTTCTTCTCACCTCTCACACTATATTGGTCTGGTGAAGGTATATAAATAACTAAAGGCAGACAGATTAATGTGGTAGTTAGGGGCCTTATATTAAATACGCAGCCAAATAATAATAATTCAATTCAGAATTCAATTATGTTGAAGATTGATGAAACTTTTTTGAGTCTGGTTTATTCTCATTTCACAATCATCACTCATTTCCTCCCCATGGTGGAGATGGTACACTGTGCTAGTTTCTTTGTTTTCTTTTGGTGAAGTTATGGTGGTGGCCTCAATTTACTATTGCACCTACATGTAGTTTGTGTTTTGGGATGGTGGGGAGTACTAAATATAAGACACCCATTCAGTGATCCAGTGTCAGTTATCAGGCAGGTAGCGAGGGGTGAGATGATAAATTATGATCCAGGAAGCCCAGTCTAGTCTTCCTTAGATGATCTCATCCATCCAGGAACGTGCACTTGCACATATTTGATTGGCAAATTCAGAGTGTTGGATGACGTTGTGTTGTGGCAAAGTTTTTTTTTTCCCCCAACTTTCGAGGGGGTTGAGTAAAAGAACTCAGTGCTCATGTCCCAGATGGGCCATCGGGAGCACTGTCAGCCCTCCCGCTTGATGGTATGATCTCTGTCTGTCATCACATATCAAAAATTGGGCAGTGTAGGTGAGGGAGAGAATAGGTGGAGCTGAGAGGGAGTGCATTTAAAGGAGAAAAACTCTACAGCTAAATGCTGCAAATTTTCAGAAGTTGTTGATGATCACAAGCAAAAAGACTAGCTAGCAAGGGTTACTCTCAGGCATGTTAATATCGCCAACACCCTTCCCAAGTTGTCACTGAATCGTGCTCTGTAGAAAAGCAGGAGATTAATCTGCATGGAAAATAAAGAGCTGTAGACTATTTCTGTCAGGTGGAAGTAGCTGCAGTCGTTGTGTGTAGATTGGCCGGAGCTGACGTTAGATACCCTGCCTGAATTATTATCCCAGTCCGACCCTGTCAGTTTGAACAATGATTCAGTTTGTTTCTCAACTTTTTCTTGAAGCTATATCCCAGTTCCTAATGCTTTTAAAGATTCTTCTCCCCCATGATGAGACTGCAAACCTTCATTCTGTGAATTTTTCTAAAATGGAAACGGCAATGTATAACATGTTAGCACAACATATTGGGTGTCAGGCCAATATTAGAAACCGGTATTGGTCAAACACGCATCGTGTGGAGGCTGACTCTCCAGTGTTTGTCTCTTAACAGCAGATAAGTGGATATTGATGCATGACTTTGTTGCTTTGTTGTAGCTAATGACAAACATAAAAAGCTGTGGTGTTCACAGTGTGTGTGTGTGCTGGACAGTTGTAAACTATAGTTGACCGTAAACAAGGTGCTTTTTCTTTTTGACAGACTGTGTAAAAGGTGTAAAAGTGAGTCAGTGGAGCTGAAAGAAGTGAGCTGTGTGGCTGAGGTTTTCTTAGAAATCAGGACATTCTCTGTTTGAGGGGATCAGAACGGCCTGTCAGGTTAAAAAATGGCATCCTGGTGTCAGATGGTATTCCTTTCAATCTCTGTATCAAAAGAAGAGAAAGCCCCCTGACCCTGCCTGAATGTGATCCATTGTAGGCTAGTGTTTGAAATTCTGCAGTCATGTCTGATATCTTTACAGAATCCTAATAGAATTCCAGTTTAGTGCATTGACCAGCTCAGCCTGTATCACTGTATCTCAAAGTGGCCTTATTCACCGTATCAGCTAGCTGCATTAAACAGGTTAAAAAAGAAGTTAAAATTCTTCAAGGAGGTTTTGCGACAGTGGCTTATAAGTGAAACGTTTCCTCGAAGCAGAAAAATGTGTGTAATTATCAGATTTCCAAATAGCTGCGAGTGAGAATAAAACGGAGGAAGGGAAGCTGCTGGAGCTGAAAGAAGCATTCAGAGAGGTTATCAGGAATCAATCTGCTCCTGTGTTCGGCTTAGAGAAGGTCTGTGTGTCATTGTCTTAGTGTCAGTGAGATTTTAGTTCAGAACAGTGTTTTTCAACCATTCGGGTCCTCATCAGGACACAACAGAGTGGTTTATTCAGCTCAGTATGCTGTCAAAATATATTTGAAGGAGGAGAAACAGTATTGAAATAAAGTAAGACTTGGGGAGCAAATTCAGATGTTACAGCAGCACAGAGACATGCAAAGAGGTACGAAAACAAATAGAAAACTACAATATACTGTATACATTACAATATATACCAATAAAAAAGCAGGTGCATGCCGGTGGTCTAAAAACAACAGTCAGCAGTTGCAGCAGCTCAAACTCAAACCGAACACAGACATGATACACATTTTTGTAGATTAAGTGTGAGGATATTATTATATCTATCATGAATAAACCAAAAATAAAAGATAAAAGACAGTCCTTATAACCGACATTGCCTGAGAATCCTCATGTTTTTAAGTTTTTTTCAGTATCAAAGTAATCTGGAGGTAGTTGTCCGTACATCCATGGGTACATTGCAAACAGGAGCTGCCAATAGCTAATTTGGCATACTTTTAATGCTGCCAGCTTGCCAAAATTGTTCAACGGGGGATGTTTGGAGTCAGAAGGGAAACCCCTGCCTTAGACTATAAGCGAATTGTGCAAATATTTAGTACACTTTTAGTGGACTTCTAGCCATGAAAGTATAATATACATAATATATTTAAGTATATCATGTTATAAAATATATGTGGCGTATGTGTAATAGAAATAGAGAATACCAGATTGCATATAATATAAACATACATTAAACACATATATATAAAACAATATAGTCCCATAATACTGTATAGAGAAGATGCAGTTGTTGTTGTAAAGAAGAGAATATCGAAGGTTAACACTGGTGATGTGTTTGCCCAGTGGGCTTGGTTTAGTGATTTGCAGATAAAATATGAGTAAACAAGCTGGTTGAGTTAAGGGTTGCTTCAGCAGCAGCATATTTACAGTTTTTCTCGATTGTTTACACACATTTTCTGAAAGCATGCCTCATACTTTCAGAACTCTACCCACAAATCACACACAATGGGCAAAACCCCTCAATTCTCCTGCAAAATGAAACTTTACATCCAAAACAATGTTATTTCTTCTCAAAATGGTATTTTGTTTTCAAATGACACACACAAACCATCATATGAATAGACATTTATAAGAACCAGTTGAACACTGATGTGCTCAATGTAAAACACTATGATGAATGGAAAACACTTCTTCTCCATTCCTCATAGTGACTTAGGCCTTTTTTTTGTTCAGTGTTACGCTTACTACAGACAGTACATACATAAAAACTGTAATTTGGCAGGTCCTGCTATACGCTGAAGTACAGTTATTGATACTGAAATATTGATGGTACGGCACTTAGATTCTGGAAAACTTTCACTTTAAATTTCACTTCTCTCCTGGACATGTAGGCATCTTTTTCCATACAAATCAGCAAAACTGCATCACTGAGTGCTGACTGCACTTTCAGCAGTCATCATCAGCTGATTATGAACATAGTGTTGGAAGTTGCTGTACTATAGGATACTGAAGTGTCAACTAAGCAGTTGTAGCTCTATAGTTCAGACCTAACTGGCCAATCTTACATGACATTTTCATCTTATCCACATCTTGGCAACTATATGCACCTTGTATAAAACTAGTGTATTCTTGACACATCTGCTATATCTGACCGCAGGTTCAAATCTTGTAAGGCTGAACGATGCTTTCTTGGCTGATGTTAATAGGAGCAGTAAAGAGTAGCACAGTACAGCTACCGCAGTCATAGCCAGAGCACCATTGGTACAACCACAGGGTAATAACCAGGTCCACTGTGCTCACTGTCAGTGGCTGTATACTGTTTTAGATCGGCTTTTTCAAAGGAGGAATGAGCAATAAATGCATCATTTGTCACACCATCTCACCTTTCTGTCTTATAAGTGGACCAACAAACTAACTGTTCCTATGGATCAGGGGGAATGTGACCCTTCAGGGGCTCTGTACACTGTACACTGTAATAACAATGAGCAAAGCTCAAACAGGGTTTTAATCTGCAGCAGCTCTTTGTGAAGTGTGGCACTGTCATTAGTAAACTTGTTGCAGTTTCCGTTTGGTTTGCTTTATTTTCACACAGAAAAAAATGCAAAGCAAATCAGTATGCATCGCTGAAAGCCACATAAGAACTCCATTCATTGGTTAGATGTGTCTTGAAAGTCATGGAAAGACTTGGAAATTGGTTAAAATGGTCAAACATCCTAGAAATAAGCATCATAAAGTTTGTATTTTAGCTCCCCACTCAGATCGCCTATGTAAACCTTGGTGTGTATTTTGTTTGAAACTGATAGTAGGATAAGTTGCGTGGTAAAGCAGGTTTACCAGACACAAAGTGGAACGGATAAACACTTCCATTTCATTTTGGCTCCTCCATCAGTCAGTCTGGCTGTTCACACCAGACGTGGAGCAAAACTGACTCGCAGTGATCTTGTCAGCATCAAGTCTATTTTTTCCGAGCCGCAACTGGAATTCTCTCGAAAGCCCAGTGGAAATGCTGTATGGTCATATTTACATGCATAAAGCCATTTATGATTGTGTTGATAAATGCATGTACAGCAATGCTCATTTACTTGTAACAAGCACTTTTACTTTCTACTTCTTTTAATGGACTAATATTTGAGAAGATACATTTTCTGTAAAAAAGACCAAAAAAAGCGAGGTAACACAGACTGTTACATAAACGCTGACCACCTATCTAGACCCACAGCAGCCAGTAAATTATATGACCGTTTGGGAGCAAGTGCTGTCCTGTATTGTCAACTCCTGGCAAATGTCCCCGAAAGTTCCTGGAAAGTGATTTCTTAAAAGGAGTGGGAACCCTGTTAATTCTCTGGCTGCCTGCTAGCACCTTTTGATTTTGCACAGTGGCTACAGGAACCATTCAGCTCAACTTATCAGAGTACGCCGTGTAATTGGTTCAGATTGAGGTCAGCTCACGTTCCCACCACAAATAAACCTAAAAGACAAGTAAATATTCCTTCCACTCATGGCTACAGCCCCATCCTCCTCTCTCTCCTCCTCTCTCTTCCTCTCTCTGTGTCTCCGTCCTGTCTGTCGGTGTGACAGTAATTAAATCGGCCCTCACTGGGACGATCGTCCCCGGCAACTCTCATCTGCTTCCAGTTCAAAGGAGGTGATGGGAGGCGGAGATAGAAAGGGATTAATACTGCAGGCTGCTGCCACGCAATTATCTTGCAGCCTCCCACCACACACACACACACACACACACACACACACACACACACACACACACACACACACACACACGTGCATTATCACCTCCCCCTCGCTTCATCCCAGCACCTGTCTATCAGGACCTTCACATTCATCTCCATCCATATTCATACTGAACCACCCTTCAGTCTTAAGTGCCTGTCAGGAGCTCACAGTCACTACACACAGTGACTGGGGGACAAAAGACAAGCATGTGTAGAAGCTGCTGTATGCTGCAGTATGGAATATTCTCTCAGTGACACCTTTTATACAGGTGACTTCTGTGGGTGGCCATGTAAAAAGAATGAATATTGCAATAATTCTCACAGCATTATCTTATTGATTTGTTCGATACTAAAGTATTCAAAATGACATCGTCTCCCTGTTCCTGCCATCTTATAGTGGAAAAGTATGGTAGTTTTTGTGTCAAAAAAAAAAGCATTGGTTAATTTGCTGACACATTGCACTGAGATAGCTGTGACAGAGTGACGCATAATGTAAATGCTGAATTATCACGCAGCCCCAACATCATCAAGTCCATCACTAATTAAAAGCAGCAACTGAAGCAGCAGTTTAGCTTTGCAAATATTTGAGTATCACAGAAGAAGACAGCTGTTAAAAGTCAGTGTATCCCTTTTAGCTGCCGGCATGTTGGCCTTCTTTTGGACCCCACAAACCTTTCAAAGACTTCATAAGTTGTCTAGTTTTGCAAAACAAGGCCCAAAAACATATATTTTTTTAACTCCCAGACCACTAAAAGTCCACATTTACAGACTATAATCGGCTGAAATATTATGTTGTATGTATGCCAGACTATGAAAACTTCACCCTTTGTGTTCATAATTTCATAAGCTGTTACACTTTGAAGATGTAAAATGTCGACCACTTTCAGTTGTGATATATTTTATGAAATGAGACCATTCTTCTGCCACATATTTAATGATACAGCAGAAATACATGTCTTAATTAGGAAAGGAACAAGAAGAAAGATGGCTTACATTCATGTGGTAGGTGCTGTTGTTAAAAGTGAGTGCATTCAACCTCGACAGAAACAAGAGTTACATGCCATTAGTAAACTGTAAGTGCATCACTTTTAAAACTAGCTATACTGTGGAGCTTGCTTTGTACACTATGCACATACGTTTGGCCATACAGTGTTACATTATTTGTTTGATTTCTTCCTGTGTAAAACATCAAATACTGTTACGATTAGTAAATATTAAGTTGCTGTTTGCTGACATTATTACAGAATTTTCAGCAATAATGTTTTTTACTGCAACCTCTGGACTTTCTGTTAAATAATTAATCAGTCTCAGACCTGAAGGAAGATGAATCTGAAATCTTAAAACCTGTCAAACCCTCAGAAGGATCAACTATAAAGTCTGATGCACATTAACTTCTAAGCTCTAAACAGCAGAAGCGTTATGGAGCATCTGACCCCTCTGAATTGAAAGAGTTCCTCAGAAAAAGCATCTCTGAAAGCAGAAATCAAGTTCATCAATTGCAGTACATCAGTGGTATTTCTGTATAATACAGGAATATTGAAGGACTGCAACTGTCAGATCATTTTAATTCATTCTGGTTGTTATTCCAAAATGTTTACAGACAGAACAAAGTAAAGCAGATCTTTTGTATCTTGTGAGCACAGTTGGCAAAGTTGGACTTAAAGCAGGAGAGTAAAAAAGCATTTATTATGGAGATAGTCAGCAGTTTTGTTATAATAGATGTCACCGAGTGTCACGGTTTCATTTTCAATTCATCTGTGAGATATTACTGCTCAGGAGCTCTGGGGAAGCAGAGAGCTCTCCACATTGCTTGTCAGTGTGGAGGTGTGAAGTGTCTCTGACTCGGAGTGTGTCATAAGTGTAACACCAGGGGCAGTGTCAGTCATCTTCGTCTCATCAGTAGGTTATTAACAATAAGGGAGCTCAGCCAATGAAACAGATTCTTCCTGGTTCTGGATTCATGAGGGAAGTGAGCACTCTGTCTTATTGCTCTTATTTTACCGATTGGGATTGACCTTTGACGGAGTATTTTCACAAGAGCACAGTATGTATTTTTAGGTTTTACATGTCAATATTTTCTTCCCTGAAATTTATTGAAGGTTTGTCAGCAGAGTCTTATACATATATACCTGTGTTTTTGCATCGTTACAACATTAAAAGAAGGGACCATACCATTGAGTTACCAAATACTAAACACTTGTTTTATTGTGCCTAGAATATTTAAAGCCTTTAAGCTTAAAGAACCATCAAACTGGAATCATTTGTTGAACTCATTCAGAACTAATTTCAGTTTTGTGTTGGTGAAACCTGTAACAGAGATGTAGTGTGTGTGGTTTGGGATTGTGGGAGAGCCCTTAAAACGGATTTATAGTTGTATGTAGGTCCTACGCAAATGGCCTACACCACTGTGAGCATTTATACTTGTGCACTGGTGCGTCTGTGTTGCTCTGCAAATAACACCACCAGAACGCTACTTGGCAGAGCGTTCTCTGTGCCAGTCTTTGTATACTTTAAACAATGACGTCTGAAATTGAAACTCGTCTCTCTCCTCAGTCTGTCTTTTCCTCTGTGGTTTCATTTCCTTTTTTTCCCTCTGCCGCCCAAGAAACGAAAGGACGAGGGAATAGGAGGGGACAGAAGAGAACATGTCATGCAGCGAGGCAGCACCTCATGTGCACCCGTTTGTCTTAAATGTTTATTTCCATGCTTGAAAACAAAATGGTGCATCTCAAGGGGTTTGTCCTCAAATTTGAAATACATACCATTGGTTTTGCATGTTTTTTTTCCTTTCATATAAAAATCAATTTCTGTGTTATTAAAATAATATTCAGGCTAAATGAGCCGGAAATGTGAGCACAAACTGCAGTCGTTATTGTGTCTTAGGAAGCATTAAGAGAAATAGTTGTCATATGTTTAGGGGTCTTTAACCAAAATATTTAAAAACACCCAGCTAACATGTGAATTCCTCTTCCTTAAGTCTTGGACTGGAGGATGACCGATCCAAACCATCCCATGAACGCTCTGATGCGTCTGAATCAGATCCACCCGGGCCTCCAGTACCGTCTGCTGTCCCAGTCCGGCCCAGTGCATGCTCCAGTCTTCACCATGTCTGTGGACATCCAGGGAACCACCTACCAGGCCACCGGGAACTCGAAGAGAACCGCCAAGCTCCAAGTAGCCCTCAAGGTATTCAACTGTAGTATAAACCTACTGATTCCATGGCTACATTACACTTCACATTTACATGATGGGAACTGTAGTGCCATAACTCAGAACAGCTTCATAACAAATGGAAATCAGTAAATCTAAGGCTGACACACCATTCAGCCATTTATTCATGCAGATAGTGACACACTGATGCGTAAAGCTCTTTGAAAATGATGGTATTTGAGCGGCCTAACATTAAAAGATATGCTGAAAGCCTGTAAGTGACGGCAGTGTAAACCAGCCGAGGGTCCAAAGGGTTAAAAACACCACTTAAGCTGCCATTCCTCTCTCTGCCTTTTACTGTCGTTTGTCATTCTGTGCTTCTGAGAGTGTCCGATGATTAAAAACTTGAACATGAACTTAGACAAAGAAACAGTTAAACTGAGCAGAGAGAATGTTCTTTTTGTGACGAAGCTTTTTATTCAGCATGTTAAGTTTTGACTTCTCACACTTTCACTTTGTCACACACATTTATTCATTCAGTTACACATTCACACGTCAGAGCTGCCCAGTACAGCCAGTCTTTGTGTTGTTGTTGTTGTTGATGGCCACTTTGCAGCCTAACTGCAGCAGCTGTTAGGTGGTTGAGTGCCTTGCTCAAGGACAGCTCAGTCACAGATGATGGAAGTGTGATTCATTTCCCGTCTGTGGTGATTTCAGGGACTGTCGGGGCGTTGGAGAAAGTTTACTTTTGTAATAGGATGATGGTCAGCCTGAACGCAGTAGAAACCAGCCTGTTATGTTTACTGAAAGGTAATGGAATCGCTCTGAACGCTGTGTGTGTTTTGTGATGTTGAACGTGCTTTTCCCTCCTCAGGCGCTGCAGGCTCTGGGCTTCGTGCTCAGCGGTGATGGAGACGTGGACTCGCTGAGCGCCGATGAGAAGTCAGATGGCGAAGGCAAGAACGACATGATGTCCACCAGCTCCAGCTCCACCTCCATCACCTCCTCCACAGACACACAGGAGGTGGGGAGCGCACGCACACACACACACACACACACACACACACACACACACACACACACACAGAAAATCACTGGGATTGTTAACACGTACACATGAGGATAAGACTGCCGCACAGACGGACAGTGGCCTTTTGTGAAGTATCAGTGTCACCAACCTGTGATGTAGAGATTCTTCACTGATCACAAGAACACTTCAGGGAGGTTCATTAAAAATTCAGATAATGCTTCAGTTTAAGTGTCATCCTGCAAAAGACAAATAAAGCTGTCCCCCCTCTGTTTCAGCAGAGTCTTTAGTTTGTTTTGAAGGAATTCTTCTAAAATGTTTTTATGGCAGGTAGCTCAATTTCCTACAGATGTTGAATGCAATCTTTAAAAGAGATTTGAAACAGAATCAGAGCTCAGGGACCACACTGCAAAAGCTCTGTCCTCTTTAGAATTGAGTTTAGTTTGAGGGATAACTAGTATTCACTGTTCTGCTATAACATAGCAGCATGTCATAATAGATTGAGAAAAACAGAAAATAAAAAGAGCTACACAGGGTTTAAAACAGATGAAATGTAGAAAATATTGACCAAGGAGTGTTTAAATATTCCCGTATAAACAAACAAAGAATATGTGCAAAAAGATTAATGTTAGTGTAACATTTGTAGTTAGTTATCACAGACATAGTGTTATCGTTCAACATGTCAGCCTGTAAGTAACTAGACACACAGAAATGTTAGAGATACGTTTGAGGTCATTTAGAAACACTGTCTCTGTTACACATTCCCAGACATCACTGACACGTTTATTTTTACACTGTGAAATGCCACACTCAGTGCATAACTTTACCTTAATAACCAGATTTAAGTAATTTATTTATCACCATCATTTACCAGTTGGGCTGGTCGACTGTACAGCGAGTATCAGTCAGTCAGTCACATTCTGTCAGATACTTAGACTGTACGCAACATTATGGAGGATACATGATATGACAGGGCGGATAGGAAATCTTGTCTTACTTTGAGGAAACATGAGCACTCTTGTAAATTTTGAAATATAAAACAAATATAAAGCCGGTGTCACTGACTCTCTCTCTCTCTCTCTCTCTCTCTCTCTCTCTCTCTCTCTCTCTCTCTCTCTCTCTCTCTCTCTCTCTCTCTCTCTCTCTCTCTAGTCCAGAGCTCCAGGTCCGATCCTGACAGCGGGAGGTAAAAACCCAGTGATGGAGCTGAATGAGAAACGTCGTGGCCTCAAATACGAGCTGATATCAGAGAGTGGCAGCAGCTACGATAAACGCTTCATCATAGAGGTATGAAAACTCACACACACACACACTACTCCATTTCATAGATTTTCTGTCTTCCTTTCAGAGGGTCTCATTAGGAATTGATGATGGAGGGATGTGTTTGATGTTCGGCACCTCGGTGCTTCCTGCATATCAAAACAGCTTCACACGTCTCAAAAATACCAGAAAGACATCTGAACATGAAACCAATTTTATCCTGTGAAATCAATCTAAACCACATTTCTCTCATGTAGTCTGTACGGATTTAATGTTTCTGGTTTCCAGTCTCAATGTTTTGACATTATTAGGCCCCAAGATCTTGTTTCCTTTGGGGGTTATTTCTCCATTACTGCCATGCAAGAATAAATGTTTCCAGTTTATTTAGAGTAAACTAAAGAACGGTGTAGTTTGCATGGGCAGTGATACCCACATTGATGAGACTGATAAATAAAAGAGCACATTTTTATCAAGAATGAAATGAAGGCATGGGACTCATGCAGGAATGTTCTTGTATTCTTATCCTGAACTGCTTACTTTCTCCTGAGGTTTGTTCTTACGAGTGTTTTAAGTCATATTCAACAAACTAACAAAAAAGGTCCAGTGTATAGGATTTAGTGGCATCTAGCGATGTAGTTGAGATTGCAGCTCCCTCATTTCACCCTCCCCTTCTAAACGTGAAGCAGAAACTATAGTGGCCGCAAAACATGCAAAAAACTTGACAGTCCTATCTACAGACACTGTCGGTTACTGTAGATAACACCAGGTTATTCTAAGGTAACAAAAGGATTCTTATTTTCAGGTGATTATACATTAATGAAAACCCTTCCATTTCTGCCAGTAGATCCTCCTAAATGTTACACACTGGACCTTTAAGCCTGACGAATACCACCAGTCATACTGCTAAATGTGTCTGCTGATTTCCAACAGCAGGACTTGAAGCTCTGAGGAGTCACTCGTGGTATAAGAGACTTAAGGCAGAGCTGTACTGTGACAGAAATAAACAGGAAATGGTTTAACACAAGTTTACATGCTAAAACAAAATAAAAGCAAAGTGGTCCATGACTAATATGAGAGGACATGTTACAGCCATAGAGATATTAGATGAGAGACTATTATACAGTTGGTGATTGTACACTGTTGGTGCAACAGAGGATGATACTTGACAGAGACTGAGACTTTTTTCAGACAATTTTCCTAATAACCATTGAAGTTGTCAAAATTTGCCAATAAAATAATCCTCTGTAAATTTGCAAGCCGTGAAGCTGACAATAGGGTGAACAACATATCAATTGTGCATTAAATTTGTCTCATAAAAATATTTCACTATCATATTCAAACTAAAACACTCCATGTGTGAGTGGTTTGTGCATGAAGCCCTGTGGCAGTCCCACCCTCTCTATTTGACAAGCCATGTCATGGAGGTAACAGTGCAGAAACAGAGCGCTGAGTGTGAAGAAATAAGGCTGCCACTGACAAGTTCAGTGTGTGTGATGTCTTAAACAGTCAAAAACCACAAAGGTGATCAGATGAATCAAATCTTAAAGTCTGAGAAGGTGTGACAAGTAAGTGTTCAATGTTTATATTTAATAAATTACATTATTCCATCTAGGGCTGCGACTAGTGATTACTTTCATTATTAATTACTCTGACTATTACTTTCTTGATTAATCATTTGGTCAATAAAATGTCAGGAAATAGTTAGAAAATGCTCATCATAGTTTGTCAATCTGTCCAACAGTTCAAAGCCCAAAGATACTCGATTACTATCAGATAGGAACATTTAGAAGCTGGAACCAGAATATGGTTTTCCTTGAAAACTGAATTACAGAATTGCTTCTTGACATTTTACTGTCAATTAACCAATTCATTATTTGTTTTAGCTCTAATTCTATGAATCTATTAAACATCTAATTGTTTCAGCTCTGCTAGAAAACATCATAACAAAAACAAAACTACTTCTTCTAATACATTTTATACAAACTTTCCTCCCTGTGTGTTGTGTGGTGTGACAGGTGGAGGTTGACAAGCAGGTTTTTCGGGGAACGGGTCCCAATAAGAAAGTAGCCAAAGCCAGCGCAGCACTAGCCGCCCTGAACAGCCTGTTCTCTGGCTCCAAATCTACGACCAACAAGAAGAAACGGCCCAACCCTCCTGTGAGTAAATGAAATGCTGCTGTAGTCAGCCTTAATGTACACAAGCATCATGTTACCCTGCTGATGTCTACTCTGTCTCTGTCTGTCTGTGTTTGTGTAGCCAAAGCGACCCGTAGCCTCTGTGCTCACCCTCCCGGCCCTCGCTGCCAGACCTCCACGAGTCCCCATCATCCCCAGAGCTCCATACATCAGCACCCCACCCACACATGGTTACATCCCCCCAGGTGAGTCCAGCTGCACAACAAACTACCTGAACACATCGCACACACAAGTCTGACATAGCCGGTTTCTGTTTTGTTTTGTTTTTTACGATTTATACCAAGTTTTAAAAAATATAAAGACTGAATCAACAAATGGTAAAATGTGTTGATTATTTGGTAAAATTACAGTTTTTTTCTGGTTCATGTACAGTTTTAATTTAGATCCCAAATGTACTCGGTTTATTCATCTGAAAAATAATCAGAAGGTTCTACTTGTGCAAGCTCAAAGTTGTACTAGTTGTACTGTAGGGTTGTTGGTTAAGTTCTGGTTGGGTTACAGTTTAATGGTGAAGTTGACAGTTAACAGTCTCAATTTCGTCTCAAAGTTAATCTCATTTTATTTTTATCTTTTGGAGAAAAATGCATAATCAATCAGAAAGCATTCAGAGAGTACAGAGCTTCTCTAAGGCTGTGCAGTCCTCTGAATGTGCTCTATCACTGCTAACAAATTCTATTATATATGCCTCACAATACACACAGTGATAGACAATCATAAAGCATACTGTGTTTAAGTTAAAGGTGTTGGAGAATTTACAGAAAATAATCGCTTGTTTTTTGGTTAATGGTTCCTTGATATCTGTCAACATGTTTGTGAACTTCTGGAAGAAACAAACCGGACTGAAAACAGAACTTTGTTGGCTGCTGTAATGTGGACCTCGGGTTACAAACACTGTGGATGATGGATCATCTGATTGGAAACATTACAGTTTGTTTTCTGTGTAGTAATAACAATATATGATACGTTCTCTCTTTATCCTCAAAGGTTTTGGTGCTCCTTACGGTTACAGCCCTGCAGGCGCCCTCCCTCCCTACGGTAAACTCACAGCCACTCTATCTGATCAATAATCCATCCTTTTGATTTGACCATCACTACATCCCAACCTTTGAGTTCTTTCTTATTCTTTGCTCTTCCTCAGGTTTTCCATCCAGAATGCCCTCAGTAGTTGTCCCAGTCATCAGAGTCCCCACAACATATCCCGTCACCCACCTCTACCCTTATTAGGACCCTCCCTCCCTCACCTCACCTCACCTCACCTCACCTCACCTCACCTCACTCACTTCATAAGAAATCACTATATCCTGACTTTTACTGTGTGTTCACGACACAAACTCCAAAAGAACAACATTGGAATCCACAAACGTTTGACGAGTTTCCTTCAGCTTCAAATCTTGTGGAACCATTGTTGTATAACATCTTCCTTCTGTGCTTCATTAGAAACCAGCTAGATTGAGTTGGCCATTAGAAATTGTGTGATCAGAGTTTGACAAACAAGGTCTTTGATCATCAAACCATCAAGCAATGAAAAACTGAGTTCAGCATTTAGTGAGCTGGGAAAGACTAGTCAGGTAAATATAATCTGGAGCTAAACGTCTACTGTAGGGTACTAAATGAATATCTACTCCCACCATAGAAGACAAAACTATACTCCAAAGTAAGTGAACTAAATAAACAGTGTATGTCATTATATGGATCTAAAATAATAATTAGCGACTCAAGGGAACTGAAAAAAAAAACCCAACTCAGACTACTAAATATCTCATGTAAGGAAACAAAACAAACATCCTCTGTATATTTAGTTGGCTAACTTCCCCTACAGTCACTGTTGGGAGCTTAAGGGCGCTTAAGTACACCAACCACTACATATCCAATATAGGAACCTAAATAAATAACCACAGAAAGGAAACAAACACCATCTGCTAGGAACTAAAGGCACAGCTCTCTTACTGAGGCTGTTTTGTGTTTTGTTACGTAAAGATCCCTAAACCCCAACTACTAGGCTATAGTAGGTTAGAAACAAAATAAATATCCACTGTAAGGAACCGGATATCCTCTGTTGGTATCCACTATGTTACCCACAGTGAATTTTTATGTAGAAAACAAAATCAGCCACAACTCCACACTAACTACTAAATATCCATTGTGAGGAACTAAACATTCACTGCAGCAAACTAAAACGGTCACTGTAAGGAAAACCACCTACCATACATTTATGAACAAGGTAGGGAACTAACTCAACATCCACCATAGGAAACCAAGTCACTGTAGGGAGCTTCATAAATCAGCTCAAAGGAACTAAAGTAACGGCCACTGTAGGAAACTGAGTAACCAAATACGCAGATAGAAAAGTGATAGCATGTACACAAAATGTAATTGTTTAGAGAGCTTCTTTGTCAAAAGGTTAATCGCTCCTTTAAGAATCACCCATGGATGTGAACGCTGTTTTGTTTTAATTTCTCTGTTTTTTATTGATGTTTTAAGTTTCTGTGGAGGGATAAATAAACCAAACAGGTTTACATTAATCAGTTGCACTGAGAAACCTTTTTCCTTTTGTTTGGATATTGAATGTCCGAGTTTACAGTTACTTGTTGAGCTGTTGAGCCATTTTGTGTTGAGTTAAAATACTTTCTTTTAAGAGAGAGATTTTATTTTGACCTGTTTGTAGGTTATACTCTGTTTAAATAAATTAATATTTTTGTCAACAGCTGAGTAACTTGTGGTTCATAAGTTTAAAATGATTCATACACAGTTTATCCACAAATGCCTGCAACAGTATGTACCATGATGAAATAGTACTTTACATTATTACTTTCAGATACTGGACAAGTTGTCTCATAAAAACCTGTGAAATATGAAGTTATGTTTGTATAGCCACTTACAACCTGCACTACTATTAATCACTCCAGATATAAAGTAAGTTCTGCGTTCCACTTCCTCAGTTGTAAAAACATTTATCAACTTCAGTCCTCATTCATAACTCGAATATAAGAAACGCATACAAATACTCTTCCTTTTTGGCATTATTTCTATTATTATTATTATTATTAATAATAATAATAATATTAATAGTCTCCAAGTTAAGTGCTGAGATCTGGTAGTGCAACGTCACTAGAGCAGTGAAAAATAGGTAAGCACACCATAACAATATTACCCAAACTGTTTCAAATATTATACAGTTTACAGACCCACTTCCTGCTTCAATTTTAACCAACCGTACTTAGTGTAGTTCTGTTTTCCTGCACATTGAGGGATTATTAAGACATTTCAGGTGCTCTGACTTCTCAGTGATGTCCCTATGTACCCAGATCTCAGCGATTACTTTGAGTACAAATTTAGAATAATTTGCTAAACTGCTCACCCAAACAGCGATTGTTCAATCATACTTAAGCAACCGTAATTAGACAAGGCAGATTTGTCAAGTGTTGGACTTCTCCACATGTTGGAGTTGCAACAGAGATACTCAATATACAAAGAGGTTGAACGGTAGTGCATTTTTTTAGCTTTTCTGAAACAGAAAATACAGGTGTGAAAGTGTTTACCTGCTCTAATGTATGTAGCAAAGAAATTATGTCCAAAAATAAGACTCCAGTTGTACTAAACTGGAATTACCCTTTAAGTTAAAGCTGTTTCACACATTCACATTAGCACTTTGTTATAAATGCCAATCTGAACACCCAGAATTCAGCTGTGCAAGAGACTTTTGTAGAGTGAAACAACTTTATAGTCCTTGCTATAACGTTAGGGGTCAGTAAGTGTGACAGGCTGCAGTGGATCTTATTTCCCCTGAGCTTTAAGAGTCCTGAGAGCTGCTAGAAAAGGTAAGTCTCCTGAGAGCAGCTACAGCAATAACAACTGCTACTAGAGTATGTAATCAGCTTTGTATTTGCAACTTTGTCTTCAAACCAGTTTTCTGTGACAATATGGTTGTAATCGTGAATGGATGTGGGAAGTGCTTCAGAGGATTTATTAAGTGAAAATGATTATTTTTGTTCCTGTTAACCCGGGTTGTTTGTGTCTCCTGTCTGCAGGTGGCCTGTACATCGACAGTGCCTATTACCAGCCGCAGACCATAGCCACACCAATCATTATCCACCTGGGCCCTCAGGATCTTTTCTGACCCCGCCGATGTACCGAGACCAGCCTCGGCAACAGCCTCGACCTCCTGTTTAATCCCTCACCCTTATTAAACTCTGTCAGCGCCTCTCAATTACTGCAGCGCTGCTCCGCCGGGTTTCTCCCTCCACACAAGCCACAGCAGCAATATTGAAAGCAATATGGAGGAGAAAACACCTTGGGCAACACTCTGTCAAGTCCAGGTCGAGTTTTAGTGAAGAAGAGGCCGCAGCCGAGACTTTGTCTGACCCAGCTCACTCAGAAAATGTCAATAAAACACAAAGCAATACTTCTTCTGCCTTTGGGAATTTTCAACGTTTTCCAAAGTGACTTGATTCGAGTCAAGTCGCTGAATTCAAACAGACCATCAGCACCGGCACATTCCCAACAATGTGGCCTACTGTATATAAATACAATATTTACTATCTGTATATATGTGGATGTATGTGGGTTTTGAATATATATATACATATATATATATAAAGATGTTAATATGTTTGAATATGTAAAACCCAACAATGGGTAAAGAAACATATTTATAATATATCTCTGAATGTAAATAGTGACTGAAGTAGCTTTGTATTTAAAGCACTATCAGATATGCTATCTTTAAATATTAAGAGTTAAATACATTTTACAAATTGTCTATAACACTGTATTGGTACGTTGATGACATATAATCCCTATTTAAACATGATTACACATAGTAGACTAAGTAGTAATTTTCCATCTCAAAGCACCAAGATAAGTATCACATACAATCTGACAATACCGTGTTTTAATGGTTTATGTTCCAACTAATAAGCTCTTAATTTGAAGTTTGTATCTGACAAACTCTCCTGCTGTTACACATCTGTTGGGTTTCGGTTTAAATCAGTGGTTCCCAACCTGAGGGCAAGGACCCCCACTAGGGGTTGCAGGACAAACCTTAGAGGTCACAAGATGATTAACAGAGGAACATAGAAAACAACAACATATTATTTGTCATACCATTTTCTTCATTTTAAAGGCTCTTAAGGCAAAAAGGTTAGAAACCACTGATTTAAATGGTTGTAGATCCTCAAAGAAAAAGTGCTGGGTTTTAGAAACTTTAGTCTTCTATGCTAATTAAGAAATATAAAACAAATTATTATATTCCTGGATTAAAGGCTTTATCACAGTATATGTAATTGTATATTGCAATATCAATGCATATTGCAATATAGTAAATATAGAGAATAGCCTACATTTAGAAAATGTTAATGAATGTCTGCTTTTGGCTAATCCGTCCTCATGTTTGCAACAGTGGCCACAATGGAGAGATTACAAGCCTGGATACTTCTGTGTGAACTGGATCAGTTGACACATTTATCTCATCTCTTATACACCCTATCTCTAATTTACATGCATATTTACATTGTATGGTCAGTAGTCTTTATTTCTCCCATCGAACGTGGCCGAGACATTTTTAGCAATGCCAATGCAGACATTAACATTTTTAGACAGATAGCATGTAAAGAATGAGTAGAAACCATTTAGACAACAAATTACTATATATACTGCACGCAGAGCCGCACTGAAGGGGGCTTACTTAATTTGTTAGCTACAGCTCTACTACACTCTTGAGTGCAACAAAATAATAGTTTATCTTGTTTAAATGACAAAGTGCTCTGATTTTATTGTTCTGTATACTAGAAGATTCACATTTATTTTAGAATATGGACAGAAAACCTCAGTATTATGTGTCAGCTGAACAGCAGGACTGATGAAAGAAACCCTCAATATAAAAACACATGGAGCAACAGATGCCAGGGTGGGACTTCCACTTTTTATGAGTTTGTACAATGTTTTCATAGTTTAAAAAGTTTTTAAATGTTCCCAGTTGTTGCTTAGAGGCTTCTGCATAAAACAACTGAAACTATAATAAATATTCAAAAAGAAGATTGCCTGTTTGGAGAAACTTTCCTTCAGGAGAATTTATCAAAATTAATCTTAAATGCCAAGAAACTGGTGAAAAACAATTTACTAAAGCGAGCTACAACACCGGTCCCATTTTCACATTACACTGAGATAAATGATCTGATTTAAACCAATGATAAAGTTTTATGAAGCTGCACCAGATTAAGATGTTTTTGGTGCATTATTCCTTGACTGGAAAGCACAAACACTGTCTGAAGCAATATTCAACTCAGGAACATTCAAAGCATAAAAAAACCACAAGAATGCAAACTTAATCTGATTATGAGACGTGCACACAAACAACTGAAAGAAAACAATCTACAGCCCCTGTACTGTATGACTCCATGTTTTGACAGAATGTGAATGCCAAGGTGGATATTTTAAATATTTATGTAATATCCTGTACTGTTTAAGTGTTGACGAGTGTCTCTGGTAGAATGTAAAACCAAATGTAACTACTTCTGTAAAAGAATAACAGGGCCAAAGATCACAAAACCTCAGTGAGCGCAGAGTGTTCAGTTAGATACACGAAGCTTTTACTTAAGATACTCTCACTTCTAGATTTGGCTTAAAAATTGGAGATAATGGATGATATCCGAGATATAAAGTCTCTGATATTAAGTTGTGATTACAGTCCTGGCCCCTGACTGTATGGAAGTTCATTAATGACAAAATTGCACATACAGTTCAAATTATTACTGTAATTTATCTGCAAGAAGAGCACACAAAGATTTGTGCTCAGTTTAGAATCTGTCCCCACTAACTAATGTCAGCAGACATATATTAAATAACCACCTCAGAAAAATATACCTCAGAAAGCCTGTATACAAATATTTACTACTGTACATATTACCACATTAAAGTCATACAGGAGTTTCCAAAATGATCAGTTACCAACTTTTAAATACGGTTTACACACAAGTTGTAATCATCATTGTGTATTTGGGATTTTTCTGAAAGCTGCATCAGATCTGGCACAAACAGAAGAGCCTTTTAGATGCCTCACATCAGCCAAAGTCCATGTTCAGGGTCATTAAGGATATAGTTATTCTTAAACCCTCAACAACTCTGCACTTCCTGTCTGTACAGTCCATCCCACATGATCATGGCAATATCATATCGCCCAACCGTAACTGAGAGCAAGGAAGTCTGAAGATTGTGAGCCAAGGAATCTCTACTGCTTCCTCACATCTAAAGACACAACTCCTCTGGCAGTTCGATCACATTCAGACCATTTATACTCTTTCCCAAATCTTGTTCTCTCTTTGCATGTTCTTAAGTCTTTCATTCTTAACTTAATGATACCACTCACACTTGTTTTGGTCTCACTCAATAGTGTCTTTTCTGAACTTCCCTACTAATAGTTGAGTACAGCTGCAGTAGTTTTCTGAGCTGTCTGGCTTTGAGTGTGATTCTGGCAACAACCAGGATTCTTGTCTTTACTGTGTGAAATCAGAAATGCTTTTCTGATTTGTAGCAGTCATGTAAAACTTGGAAATAAAAAAAAAAGTATAACAGGAATAGAAGCAGCATGAGAGAGGTCTGAGTAATGCGTGTGGTGTTTGTTCCTAAGCTCTTCTTCATCAGGCCAAGTGTTCCAGTCACACTCGGCTGCAGAGCTAATTAAATCTGAGTGAACAAAGAGAGAGTGAAATAAATGTCCGATAACATACTGTGAGGATCAAACAACCCCCCAAAACAAGACATTTAAACCGGCTGAGTTTATATGAAAAGCTGCGACACTTAAAGACAAAAAATGTGTAGGAAGGCTGTTTGTAACTCTGCAGGAAGCTTATTTGGTGTCCAGTATCCCACTGATGTTCCCCAGATCTCACCTCGGTGCTACAGGACATGTACAGCCATCTGAACATTACAACACAGGAGAATAAAAACAGACTTAACAGTTTCATTTTTCAGTGGATCAAAGTTACTACCACTTATTGTCCAGATAACATCCAGTTTAATGTTCTTGCCAAGATCATCACACAGCAGTCTAAGTGTTGATGTTTTCCCCTGTTGGTTTATGACTGAAATATTTATTTAAGTCTATTAAATAAACTTTCACTTATCCTACAGCAGTAATTTGTGAGTATTTTCATTTTGTTTTTGTTTTTTGCAGCGCCTCAGTCACATGTCACTCACATAGGACTGAATAAACCCTGTTCAGGTCCAGCTTAAGGTCACATATACCGTACCTTAGCAAAACAAATTTCTTACCTTGAAACACAGCTAGGTGCCGGCCAGTGTGAGTCCGTCAATAGTAAAACAGGTTGCTCAATGCAGGAAGCAAAAAATAATATAAAATAAAGTGGAAATGGAAAAAGCTCCACAAATCAGTGGTTCGTTCTTGACATGGGAACAGTAGTTTGACAAAGACGGTGGAGATGGCTCTGTGTTTACATCGATGTGACTCTAGTCCATGTGATACCATGTCATTGGTATTCAGCTAGAATGAGTCAGTGTGTTTACATATATAATTTGTATCTCTGTCGTCACATCCTTTCTTTTCACTCTGCCTCCTGCTCCTCATGTGCAAACAGCCCAGCTACACAGGTAACACAATCTCCCTACTAGCACCTCTAAAGATCCTTAATTGACACATTACATTGTTTTTATTTAATCTGCACACAAATGGTGAATTGTTGTTTTTAGTCTTTTTAGGTTTTTTAGGAACAGTGTGGATTTTAGGGCTCTGTTAGCCTTGAATCAGTGTTGGTTGTACAAAGATGTGGGGACATTTTCATTGGTGTGGCTCAGTCTATAAATTATTTAAATACTGTAAACTCGATAGATGGGCACTGTTCACATAAAGTATTTGAATGTGCGTTACATTTCTTGGAACAGCTGATAGCTTTGTTTAATTAATTTAATCAACCAGCACCTCTAAGACTCATTCATTAATACATCCAATATGACTATTGGCTGTGTTACGATTTATGATTCTTCGACAGGACCAGTACCTTCCTAGATTTTATTTCCTTTAGACAGAGCCAGGCTACGCTAAGCTAGCATCTATCTTTGTGCTAAGCTAAGCTAACCAGCCAGTGATGCCTTCATATTTAATACAGACATTAAAGTAGTGATCTTTTTCATCCAGCTTGCAGCAAGAAAGCAAATAAGCACATTTTCCAACATGAGGAACTTTTCCTTTATCACCAGTAAGAATAATAGTTTTTATTACAATTATTAAAATTACATTGCAGTTATTTAAAGAACAGATGGCTGCTGCCTTTGTCACAGGAACCACTGGTAAGCTGTTGTGAGGCCCATTCAGTCTTTAAAAAGCTGTAAATCTTTAGCATTAGAACATTAGCCCCAGGACATCACTTGCCTGAGGCCACTTTACTACAAGACACTGTAAGGGTTTGCACACAGTGATATACCGTACATCATGGCTGGTTTGTGGAAATGATTGCATCTCCATGGTTTTATGTCCCAGTGTGTGCACTGTAGGTGATGTGAGGTTATTGGTTGTTTTCGTTTTGTGTGAGTTCACCAAAAGTATTTAATCTGAATATAAAAAGAATCTAAACACATAAAGAGGGGATGTCTTTTTTTTTTTAAACTGAGCCACTGCCACATCAAAATGACATGTGTGCTGACAGTCAGCAGTCAGCAGTCTGCTGACCCACGATGGGACCCTGCAGCTTGGCGGCATCAGGCCTGAAGACCACGGACTGACATGATCCTTCAAGATGAAAGATAATTCTTTGTCAGCTCTTTCCAAAAAATTTTTCAAGCAGAATCTTATGGATCCATCAATCTGAAGACCCTGTTCTAGTGTCACAGACAAATGAAGTTCTCACCATCTTGGTAGTTTTTCTCTCTTGTTTTGGAAATAACTCAGACATTACGACGCCGCTGTGTTAAATCAGTGGTACGGATGTTTTGTGTTTGTTTTTTAGCGAGGCAGAAGCATGCGAGTGCCGACAGCGAGGATGGTATCAGATGGAGGTCCAGATCCTGCTGGTATTTTTAGCGGTGAGAGAGAAGCCAGAAGGTGTTGGATTACGCAACATGGGCACATACCGCCCTCACTGATGGCAGTTTGTCATCTTATATCAGCACTCAGGACCATGATGCAGTGCAGCGTAGAAGCATTTTAGCACTGCAGCTTATTCACCTTCTCGGACCGACGCAAACACCTCTGACATCAACTGAGAGGCCACACTGTGGAGAAGCAGACTTCTCCACAGTGCTGCCTCAGATTAAATGTTTATGAATATATTTGCCTTAATGTTGCCCTTTTCTTCTTCTTTTCTTTTGTTTATTAACCACTTTGTAACATCTGTTCAGTTATCAAGATCAGATCATCATTAACCTGTATAAAAAGTTTTGTTTTTAAATTATAAAACAAATACGTTTAATTTACTGATTTGTCATTTTATCACCTCTAAACTTAAAAATAAGCAATAATGTGTTGTATGAATTCTGTTACACTGTTGGCTGAAACTTTAGCTTCAAGGTGTCACAGCCTGAAAACAATCAGGATTCTGGTAGGAACAGAGTTTGTTGTTTCCTCGGTGCAGCACTGCAGGTAACTGATCCTTTCATCCTTCTTTCCATCTAAGCCTCAACAAATCCACTAACACAAGGTCTGAAAATGCAGGCTAGTTTCAAGTTTTAATGTGTGAGCACAGCGTCCTCTGCTGGTGCACTTTGCTCTGAGGCCTATACGCTCGCTGAGCACACTCAGCATTTCTCTGTCTTATGGACTAAAGCTGCTGATATCCAGATTATCAGGACAGTATTGTGTGGCAGCACCAGTGTTGGGGGAAAACACAGTCTAAACTTAAAGAGGCTGAAAGAAAAGTTCAGGGAAACTTCTACAGTACCGGAGATTACAGTATGAGTTGCAACGTTTCTTTGACTTCCTCCCTCTCTCCATTTCTTTTTCTTCTTCCTCATTTGCATAAGAATCTCCATCTTCCCTCTATCTCCTCCTCCTCTCCCACAATACCCTCTCCTACCCTGGCATGTCTTTTTTTTAAATGTAGTCAAAGCAAAACATTTACAAAAGGGGTTAAAAGATGAGAATAAATAAGAGAGATAGCAAAACAAACAAAACAGAAAATACAGAAAACCAAAACGCAAAAAGAAGGGAAGCAAGGAAAGAGGAAAGAGGTGAAAGCAAAGGAGAAAAAATTAAAAATATTGTAGAAAGGAAGACAAAGGAAAGAAATGATGGAAGGACGAGGAGTGAAGAACACAAATGACAGTGAAAGAAAGGAAAGAAAAGAAATACAAAATTGAGATTTGAGGCAGTAAAGAAGGAACAGAAGGAAAATGAAGGAAACCTAAAGTATACAAGGAAGGAAAATTAAAGGACATGAAAAACATGGAAGGAAAACAGAGAATGGAGGGGAAGAAAAAATGGGTAGGAAGAGGCAGAAAAAAACAAACAAAACCGGTGGCAAGAAAGTAAAGAATGGCATGAGGCACATCACATTTGATGCTTTGTAGAGAAACTCTCCTCATCATCATTTCAGCAGATGTTAAATCGAACCACTGGATGGCAGCAAATCTCTCTGATAGTCTGAACTGAGCTCAGCTGCAGCACAGACACTGGCCGCTTTGTCTCTTTGGACACTGAGAATGAAACAAAACACCCGATTGTCTCTGCCAAATATTTGACTTCATGCAGGCCATTATCACACTGTGTTTTTATGTTATTTTGATCACAGTCTCCATGGATCAGTGAAATCCTCAGGCTGCTCTGCACATATTTCCAAAAAGGTACCGAGTATTTTAACCGTCTGCTGTAAACAAAAGTTCTGTGTGCTCATCACGAGGAAGCTCTGAGGTTTGTTCAGACCAAAAAAGGTTTTTTCCATTCTGCAATATCCCAGATCCCAATTATTTACCATCTGGCAAAGAATATAAAAAAGATTAACTGAGCTGTAAGAACTACTGAGGAGCTGAGGGGACAACGGCCAGACATTGTAATAATTTGTTATAATTAATTAATTAAATACAAAATTTACTACATACAGTGTAATAATCAGCAGATGTTTGTGACTTGAGCAGCTGCTGTTGAGATTACACACTCAATGAGGTGTCTGAGAATGAAAAAAATAAACTTAATTAAACATTTAAGAAAGCATAGGGGGTTGGATTCATCAGTGTTGATTAACATTTTATAAAATCTGCTGATGTAGGAATAAACCTAAAAGACATTTTGAAAGCTGAGATATTTCAATTCTGAAATTAGAGATATTCATAGATTGTCCTTGACTTGGTATTTGTTGTTTTAAAAGTGAATGTGTAAATCTGTATGTTGTCTTTTGTTGAAAATCCCACATACAGTGACACATATGTGACGACCCACTCCACCCTGTCTTCCTGTTCCTGGTTGTGTGGCTTGTCTTGTTTTCTGTGCCGGTACTTTAAGTGGGCGTGGCAGAGGGTCATCAGCAAATTGGACACACCTGAGGCCTGTGTGCCATGCGCCTTTAAAAATCCTCTGGGAGCTCAGTATTCTCTCTCTCCTCCCTGAGACAACTAACTGGTTTTTGGGTTTGATGGTTTGATTGTGTTGCTGCATCTTATTACAACACAGAACTCATACACTTCTCCACTCATGCACTTACTTACACCACTGATCCTACTGATTTCATATACTACTGTTAGTTTAGTTTAAGTATTGTTTCCTTAATAAATCATTTGTTAATTGGCTTTGTTGTGTGCGTCTCCCTCCTTTTGCCATGGCCGCATGGCCCGGTTTGTGACACTCTGCAACTGGATATTCCTTACAAACAGACTCCAACAAGTTTGCATTGGGGGTCACACCTCCTCCAATCTAGTTCACTGGAGCCCCTCAGGGCTGTGTGCTCAGCGCCCTCCTGTTCACGCTGTACACCCATGACTGCATCCCCCGACATGGTGACAACTCTGTTGTGGTGTTTGCAGATGACACCACCATCATCGGCCAGATTTCAAACAATGATGAGACTTCATATCGGGAGGAAATCAACAATCTTGCATAGTGGTGTGCAGAAAACAACCTACTGCTCAACGTCAGCAAAACCAAGTAGCTGATTGTTGATTGTAGGGAAAAGGAGGCAAAGACACACATACC